GAACATAAAATTTACCTTTTTTCGACCAACACTTTTCCCTCCAACAAAGGTATTCCCAGAGATTGGAACTTTTCACACTACAGAAACTTATTCAAAGGTAAGAGAACAATTATTATATGAACTATCCTGGTGATTCAGTAATATTACTGATCTTTGATTTTTGATAATCTTTTCATCAATTTTATCTTTGCAAATACAACATAATCATGTATCAAGTTCTAGAGGATAAGGAGCTGAGATATTTCAAATATTTGTCTCTCAAGGCATTCTTTGGTGTGAAATATTTTGATTCATCCTTTATTAAATTATTCTGGAGTGATAGATTATTCTATACGCTTGAAGAGTTCGCTCAGAAGAACTCAAAAGCATCTAATGAACAGAAGAAATTGCGGTATCAGGATCAAAAAGATTGTCTAGCTAGAAATATATTGCAAGATGTATTGGTGCAATTTCAAGATGACTTATCTCTAAATTGTTGGGAAGAAGAAAAGGTACGGATTTCTTTCAACATTTTAGAATTCATCAAAGAAAACTATGATTGTGAATATGTTCTCAAAATCCAAAATGAACAAGAATTCAGCCAAAAGATGAATTCAATGTCATCTATCTTCAAGTTGCTTGAAGAATTAAACAATATTAAAGATTACTTGATCAACTATAATATCTCCAGCTGGACATGGAAAGACCTGAGGGACTTTTCAAATCAAAAAGATAACAAAATTAGCAGTTTTATCCAAGGAATTCCCATGATTTTCAAATACTACCAGTTCATTCTTGTCAAAAATGAGCAGTTTTTGTCTAGTTTACGGGTAGATTCTTGGCAGATCCGTGCATTGAATTTGATAAAAGATGAAATTGAATGCACTCTTTCACACATCAAGAAAAAAATAGAGGGTAAAATTACCAACTTCCATCCATCTGTCAAAATCACTTGGTTTGATAATTTTGTTGATATATCTTGGCCTGATTCATAAATTTATGCAACTATAGATATTTAGTATATCACTTGACATCAAAATGTAAATGGGTTGATTTCAGGCCCAAAAACAGTGCCTGGAGCTGACCTGATGCCTCTTTTGGTTTGGGTTGGGTCAAACTTGAAAATATGCTGCCCAGAACAAAACCCTTCTTGGGACTTGTATTTGGGTTGGCACTTTGCATGTTGGGTTTGGGCCAACCCAAGTTTTATAGCTTTTGTAGATCAAATGTGATCAAAAATTAATTATCCAATTATAAAAACACCTGAAGGAAGGCATGTGATTTTCTCACAAAATCTGTCCAAACCTGACCTATGACCTGTTCATGGGTCTCAGGTTGGCTTTGGGTTGCTGAACTTGCCATAAAATAATGGAGGACCTCTGCTCAAATTTTAATCCCTTGAAGATGTTGATTGGAGGATCTCCCATTGGATCTGGGACCCTTGCAGATGTTGACTGAGCCTCAAAAAGTCTAGAGTTTTGCTACAACATCTACCTTTTGAGGCTTTAAATTGCTTCTGAGAGACTCACATATACTGGTGGCCTTCCTTTCACAATCTGTGGGTCCCCCAGAGCCAATTTAGAGCCTTGAAAGCCCAATTCTTCTGCAAGAATGTACAGTTTTTGGGTCTATATCAAATTCTGTGAGGGCCCCAGATTTGACAGGAAGTCCTCCAATGATAGGAAGTTGTCCATTAACACCTTGAAAAGTTTAAATTTTTGCTGGGGATTTTATAGCTTTACAGCCTGTAATTCCAGCTTAACAGGGGGCTCTGTAAATGGAGGAATTCCGATTGTCTGAATTTGTAAATTTACAAAGATGGGCTAAACCTCATTGGCTGGTGAAAATCTTTTGACCTGAAGATTTCACCAGCAAAGAAATTTTAGCTGGTCCCTCTAAATTAAGCCATCTGGTCGATGAGAATTCCTCCATTGCAGGATTTCCAGTTGCAATTTAGAGTGCTTTTTGGATCTCTCTCAGTCTTCAATTAAGAACACAAATAAGATTCCAACCAGCTCATGTGAGAGCTATGCCAGAAGGCTTCAGTATTTTTTTTTTTTTTGATAAAAATTTAGATCTAAGGGGTGCAAATCAATTTCTGGGAAGGTTGTAGATTGTGATGGGAAATCAGTCAATAAAATAACACAGAAGTCCTGTTTCTTGATTGCCTTGATTTTGAATGGAGTCCTAAACTCTGTTGACTGGTGAAAACTTGATCTCAATGGATTTTCACCAGCAAATAATGTTTAGGATGTCCTTCAAAATTAACACATTTGGATGATGGGAAGTCCTCCAATGGAGGACTGACATTGATTTTAAAGTGCCATGCAAAGCTGTTTTAATTTTTTTACAGGCTCTAAAATGGGTTTCCCAGAAAAAAATTAGCTTTACAGCCAGCTTTAGACCATCTCCACAGCAGTCTGTATTTTTGGGTCCCTATCAATCAAAAATACGGACTCGGAAATGTGTGAAGGGTCTTGGAACCCTGTTCTGCCACACTGGGCAGTCCTTAAATCACTGTTATTGGTGTAGTGTTGACAAGCTGTCACACTAGGTTGCAGTGTGATGTTGTGTGACATTCACATTGAGGTGTAAAATCCTTGGTCCCTATCCAATCCCTGGATCCAGGGTCTGGAGAGGGACCAAGTATGAAATCCATAAAATATGGATGCCAATGGGGACCGCAATGGTGTGAGGGTTGGCCTACTATCTTCCAGTCTTCAGTGGCTATGAATTTTAATCAAGAGAGTAACTTGCCTCAGTAAGAAGATAGTAGTTGGATTAAATTTCTGAGAAACTCTAGCGAAGTTTAATCATAAGTCAGATAAAGTTTATGATGATGAATTACTAAATAGTAACCTAATATCTGAATGATGATGATGATAAGAGATATTGTGATGAAGAAAGAGAAAGATCAGAGGGAGGAAGAACACAAGTAAGGCAATATTAAATAAAGCACAGAACCAATGACAACATGATGTTCAACATCATTCACATGAAGGACACATAAAAATGAATCATGATACAATCATAATGAAATAAAGTTATAACCATAATCTATGACATCATGTAATATTATCAATAGTTATTTAGATGATCTTACCTATTCTTTAACATACCGGATCAGTTAGAGCATCCCCACTGTGATCCCTATCCCGCATTTAGGGACTGTGGCCCAAAAAACACTGCCCACTTGTAACGATGTTTCTGTATTTTACAGTTTTATTAGGTAAATTGGTTGTTTTCATTACGATTTCGTCATGCACATTACTTTCTTTTACTTTGTTTTTTCTATGACGAGTTATCTGATCAGCGATTTGTATTTCTTTTCTTTGATGACGTTTTGATTTTCACAATCATCTGGATGATCTGTTGTTTCATTTCATTTATATAGATCACTTGATGTTTATTTTGTTTGCTCTTTTTCCCTTCCTCATCTCGATATTCTATTTTCATCATCTAGTCATTATATTTATGTTACTAAAATTCGTAGTATAACAAATCAAAAGTAAAACTATAATCTTATTTCTCATAGCAATTGCCAGAGAAATTAAGATTCTTAAACTATTATCTCTTAGGGTGCGTACCATAGCCGCCCGCAGGCTGCCGATTTCCATTTTTTTTTGCAGTAAATGTTTTTGACCAAAAACGCTGTACCACAGGGGTCATATTTTTTGACAACCCAACTAATCGTTTTTTCGCGTTTGCTGCCGTTTGAGGAAACGGCCCCACCCCCGTTTGCAAAAACAGTACATAGTGCCACTTCTGGTCTCCAAACCAACCACATCATACACAAACTCTACATACAGATGATAGATCCTATAGTATGCACGCTCTTCGAGATATCCAGCTCAACCATGCAATGGATCCGATGATCAACTCCCACCACTACCTCCCCCACTGTTGCAACTATGTACTTTAACTTGTACTCATTGTCAGTTACAACATCATCACTGATCTCAACTGTGAGATAAGCATCGTATCAGCGATACGACTTCTTCAGGTCATCACATCCAACAACATACAAACTTCCGAACTTGTTCTTATAGATTATCATCGATTATAAAGAGATGAATGTTTGATTAAAAAGAAGATATTGATTATCGATTAGAAAGAAGAGATCAATTATTGATTAGAAGGAAAAGATTGATGATCGATTAGAAAGAAAATAATGATTATCAGAAAAGGATGAATCACTAAAACTGGATTGATTAGAAAGAAAAAAAATGATCAATCAGAAAAAGAACAGTGTGATCGATGCCGCTGAGGAACTGTTAAACACAGTTTCTGATCAGGAGGACATGTTGAATGTAGTTTGTGAGCATATGTAATGCGACGAGGGATAGGTGAGATGGAGACTGATGGAGGTGAAGAACAGTTGGTGCACCGCGTTGTTTGTGGTACACGTTTTTGGAAGAGGTGATTATTGGATCTGTTTTGAAAAAAGCGCAGAAAAAAAAACGGTCCAAAAACTATTTTCAAATTGAGATGCGCTGTGGTACGCGCCCTTAGCTTCAGGCGAGATTACCTCTTGGTAATCTTCATAGTCTTCATTAGTTAGAGAAATAGGTTGAGCCTCACACCACTGCAGTCCCCATTGTTGTCCATATTTTACGGATTTCATCCTTGCTCCCTCTCCAGACCCTGGATCCAGGGATTGGATAGGGTCCGAGGATTGTACACCTCAATTTGAATGTCACACAACATCATACTTCAACCTAGTGTGACAGCTTGTCAACACTACACCAATACCGGTGATTTAAGGACTGCCCGGTGTGGCTGTGGCAGAACAGGGTTCCAAGTCCGTATTTTCAATTGATAGGGACCCAAAAATTAGCTCTCACATGAGCTGGTTGGAATCTTAATTGTTTTCTTAATTTAAGACTGAGAGAGGTCTAAAAAGTGCTCTAAATCGCGACGGGAAGTCCTCCAATGTCTCGATGCCCAAAAGAAAATTGGATATGCATATATGCATGGACACATGAATGTGAGCTGGATGCCGGGCCGTCGGTTTGTCGAGCACCCGAGAGGCACTTGAGCAGGAGGAAAAGTTTACGGAAGAAGTGAGAGTTGGAGTGGATGAGGCACGACACGGCATGAGCGAAGAAACGAATGAGCGAACACTGCGGGAAGCGGCCGACGAGGTACCGGCCCAAGCGGCCTCCCTGCTCCATGCATTCTCCGATCTCACCGCTGGTCGGTCTTTACTTCACCCTTCCGTCCTCGAAGGCGTATCTTGACGTTCCGTTGTTCTTGTGTGTGTGTGTGTCGCTCTAGCTCAAGGATGGAAACACGTCAAGGTCCAGACTTTCCCAACCGGTCGACCGTCTCCATCCCGTCTCGCTATCCTCCGAGGAACTCCCTCACCTTCCGTTCGTTCCTCCTTCAAAAAAAAAATACAAAAAAAAAAAATACTTCCACAGACTCTTTCTCTCATCCTTCTTTTTTTTTTGGTCGAATTACTCACCCCGTCCAACCTCGACTGAGCCCAATCTTTTCTCACATTTCTGTGTTTTTCTTTAGGGCGGCGAAAGGATCGTCTACCCAATGTCCTTACACCAACCAACCAATTTCCAAACGTGAGCAAATCATCTTTCCTGTTTAGTTGGCAAACATCAATGGAATTACTCATTAATTTTTTTTTATGAACATCAAAACAAAACGAAACATTTATGGCAAATGATGGGGGTATGAACAACAGATTATCGGAAATTTTCCCAGCGATCGGTTTAGGACCGGGTTCGAAAGTATTACTAGCGATAGTCTCTAGTGATTCTTCGATTGTATATTATGAGCTCAGCGAAGGCATTGTCTCTCCCAAGGAAGTGCCCGAGTAATCGCCATTGGTCCATGTTGGCAGGACAGAAAACCTCTCAATAGCACACATGCCGTCATTGCAGACTGGGCATACCCCTTGAGGTTCCAGCTTGTCAAGGCATACAGAATTGGCTGGTAACTAGCAATGAGCTAGATATGAGTTAAAGAGTGAGGATAAACTGTAAGGTTAGAACAGCATTGTCGAAATGAGCTTTCCAAACCCCAGGAAATAGGGGTATCCGAGCTTTTGAGTCAAAGGACATTTCATGTAGCATGAAGCTTCAACACGAGCACATCGTACCATCTCTCCAGGAAACATAATTGGAGTATGTTTGTTTGGTTTTGACTGCGGTGTGGTTGAGGGAATAATTTTTGCGTATTATAATAAAGCTGGGGATCAAAAAGGTATGCTTAAGTGTATAGAAGATTGACCCAAAGGCCAAGTAACAAGTCCAAACTTCCAAAAAAAAGAAAAAAAAAGAAGAAAAAATCCAAGTCTGAAATCAAATTCCAGTTTTTGCGAAGAACAAAAAAAGGGCACAAATTAATTATCATCATCATCGGATTCAAGATCATCCACGACGCTCAACACGCCATCCTTTCCGATCGGTTTACGGTTCTCGAAGTCGAGCGAAGACGAGAACTGTTTCAAGCGATCCCTGAAGACGCTTCGGACCCCATTATTGGTGGCCAAGTCCCAGATCTGTAGGGATGCTTTCGAACCCGCAACGGCGATTGTTGTGGGATCGTCTGGACAAAATCCCACCGAAAACACTTTCCCCTATTGTTATTGAAAGCCAAAAGGATGGATAAATTAGAAACAAACAAGAAAGTGCAGTTGTTCTGTGACTTAATCATCACGTTTAAAATTCACTTACGACGCCTAAATCTCGACTGACAACCATACTGAGCTTGGGTGAACCTGATTTATCTTCCAGGTTCCAGACCTTGACCATCTTATCGACCCCACCGGAGACGAGCAAACCAGGGATGACGGGGCTGATATCGAAAGCGGAGACGGATGAGTCATGGGCGGAAAGAGTCCAGAGAGGTTTGGCGGTTTTCTTAGCGGGAGTGGTAGAGAATTGGGAGAGCATTCTCGAGTCGAATGATTGGATGAGGCCGTTGTCGAGGGTGACGATGAAGGCCTGGGGGTTAAAAGGGTCCCACCGGAGACACTCGACGTCTGAATCCACCTTCACCTCTACACCCTCCCCGGAGTTGCGAGTATCCCAGACCTTCAGCATCCCGTCCCATCCCCCGCTCAGCACGACCGTCGCCTCCTTCGGGTTCCATTGCGCCGACTGCACCTTGTCGGTGTGCATCTGGAAGCTCTCGATCGCACTGAACGTCGACGAGGGCCCGGATGGGGCCTGGTTGAGGTCCCATAACTTGATTGTCGTGTCCGCTGAGGCTGATAGTAAGAGGTTCCGGGCTAGTTTGTTGTGGGAGAGTGAGAGGACTGATGAGGTGTGATGGGTGGCTGGGGAAAGATTGAGGGTTGAGGGTTGCGGCTTGTTGTTTTTCTTCTTCTTCTTTTTGTCTTTCTTGGATTGGATATTTGAATCTGAGACCTGTTCTGCAGAGGGTTGGTCGACTTGAGAGGAGGGGTTATTGTTATTCCCAAGGATTGCGTCGGGATACAGCCCGTCGACGACATCCAAGTTCCAGATCTCGATCTCCGGGTCCATCGTGCCCACGGCGATAAAGGAGCCCTTCCTCGTCGGATCGTCGCAGTCGATCCCAGCTGGTGAGAAGTCGATCCATTCTAGACAGAGTGGCATGGCGGGCAGTAAGAGATCATGATGGACGTAGAGGTTCTCTTCTCCTTGGTCGTATACGTAGATGTCCAGTTGGGAGACGTCATCCTCTGTCCTTGCGGCTATGATCAGGTTGTCGGTCGGATAGATCTCTAGCTCCTCTCGCTCGTGGGTTTCATCATTGGCCAACTAGGAATGAGAAAGAAAAAGCCTTAGGATAGTTGGGAATACAACAGTCTTTGAAAAAAAAAAAATGAAATTCAATGGGCTCACATCGTCTAGTGTCACATAAGGGTCATCAGTCTGATTCTGATAGAACTGTAGACCTTTGATGTTACTGAATGCGCCCATGGAAACGCCCTTTGATTCTTCCTTATCATAGTCATCCAGATTGTACTGTGCCATCTCATCAGTCGGCTTAGATGGATCGTCGAGGTCCATCTTATCTGGTTCTGATGAAGAGTCCTGGCTATGATTGGATCATCAAATTACATGTCAATAAGTATAGCTCTCTCAAAGTTGATGGTATTTTTTGAGGGGGTGCTGCTTAACTCGGACCATTCGTTATCAGAGTTCTCCTGCTTCTTCTCATCATTATCTTCTTCTTCATCATCCTCTTCTTCGCCGGCAATCATCTCCTCCACATCGACCAGTTCCTCCTCTTCGGCCTCTACCTGTTCGTCCAATAGTTCTTTGACCTGTGCCAGTCTGTCTCCTGCTAGTCTCGATACTCGCTCCAGTTCATTCTTGTCTAGGTTGTATCTCTTGGGATGTTGTGCTGGTTGGCCTCGTTTGACCCAGACTGTGCTTGAGATGAGTGATGCCATGATGGTAGATGGTTGAGGTTCGGTCTGCCAGTCCTGTTGACCGTTTTTTTGGCTTTGGCTTTCTTTTTTGGCCAAATTGCATATATCCATCCACACTCACCCACCCCCCACTCCCCCACTACCAGGTTGTGGTTCATCAACCAGCCTTCTTTTCCCAAAAAACCCACCATCGGATGAACATTCGACCTCAAACAACATTCAAACTACTACCACTGCTCAAACCCAACTGGAACATCCACAACAAGCCAATCAGCAGGACCCTATCATCAATCAGACCTCAGTTTATTCATACCAAGATGGACCCACCATCCGGACCCAAGTCAACCTCCGATGTCCCCCTACTCGCCTCACTCCCACCACTCCCAATTCCAACCGGAGCGGAACCCTCGAGGAACGTACTAGACGCTTTCAGGACAGCCGTCGCCGTACAGGTAGCCGAGATTCTCAACCTGCCTCACTCCGATCCCGCCGACCTCGAACGGATCTGGGCGGGGGTCGAATCGGGGAAGAAGGAGGGAGGAGACCTGACGATCGCAGTACCCAGGTTTAGGATCAAAGGATCAGACCCCAAACAGTTGGCCAAAAAAATTCAGGATGAGGTTAGCAAATTTCTCTCAGATCCCAGCTCAACACAGCCATCAATGGAAATTTGTAGATCAACATAGTTACTCACCAGAAAATCAAGATTGATTCTGTCCGGATAATAGTTTCAAACCAATGAATGGATCCAATCCGCCAATGCCGAGGGAGCCTTTGTCAAGTTCCAGATGGACTCCAAGACTCTCTGTCGAACCGTCCTCCACCAGGTCAACGAGCTCACACATCTCTCAAACACCGGCGGAGGCTATGGGACTAACTCGTCCGGAATTGACCCTTCAACCGGCAAGAAGAAGAAACTCGTCCTCGAATTCTCCAGTCCGAATATCGCCAAAAAATTCCATGCCGGTCATCTCAGGAGTACCATCATCGGCGCCTTCCTCGGCAATCTACACGAGGCTAACGGATGGGATGTGAAGAGAATCAATTATCTAGGTGATTGGGGTAGACAATTCGGTCAGTCAGTTTATTTTGCTATCAGGTGAATGAGTGTTTTGGTGATCACAAAAGCTGAGATGTATCTTGATTTATTTAGGCGTGCTAGCCGTTGGTTTCGAGCGATATGGTTCAGAACAAGAATTATCCGAACAGCCAATCCAACATCTCCTTGATGTGTACACCAAGATCAATAAAGACATGGAAGGAGAAGAGAAAGAGGCTCTAGAACAGAAGGCACGAGACTTCTTCAAGCTGATGGAGGAAGGAGATTCAACAGCTGTAGCACTATGGAAGCGGTTCCGAGACTACAGTATCAAGCAGTACGAGCAGGATTACGCCCGGTTGAATATCAAGTTTGACGTGTACAGTGGGGAGAGTCAGGTGACACACGAGAGCATGGATGTGGCACTGAAAGTGTTGAGGGAGAAGGGCATTGCGATCGAGGATAAGGGGACCCTGATCTGTGATCTGGATGCCTACAAGCTTGGCCGGACGGTGATCAGGAAGAGCGACGGGACGAATCTGTACATCACCAGAGACATCGGCGAGGCTATCCAACGGTACGACAAGTACCAGTTCGACAAGATGATCTACGTCGTCGCCTCTCAACAAGACCTCCATCTTGCCCAGTTCTTCAAAGTCTTGGACCTCATGGGATTCCCCTGGGCCAAGAAACTCCAACATATCAACTTCGGAATGGTCGCTGGGATGAGCACTCGAAAAGGCACCAGCGTCCATCTCGAGGATATGATGAACGAGGCCCGTAATACCATGCACGAACAAATGAAAACTAACGTCGATAAGTATAACGAGATCCCTGACCCGCTTCGGACGGCCGATGAAGTCGGAATCAGTGGGATCAAGATTCAAGACATGGCTGGAAAGAGGTACAATCAGCTCTCCGCCCCTCTTCTTCTATTTAATCTCTTGTTAACACATTTTTTTTTCTCTGAACCTTTCCACGCAGAATCAATGGCTATGAGTTCAAATGGGATCGTGTGTTGTCATTTGAGGGAGACACAGGCCCATACCTTCAATGTAAGCAAAACGTGATCTGTGTCCATGCACGAGTATGAATTAACCTTGGTATGATACGCTACTAGATGCGCATGTCCGACTATGTTCGGTGGAACGGAAAGCGGCGCCGACGTATGTCTTACCAGAGCCAACAAAGATTGCTGCGGAGATCGAGACGTCGATTTTGAGTGAGGAGGCGAAGGCGCGGGAGCTCGTCGTGCTGTTGAGTCTGTACCCGGATGCGGTGAAGACGGCCTTCTCGAAGCTCGAGCCCTCGTCGATCGTCACCTATTGTTGGCGGCTCACCCATGCCGTCAGCTCTGCCTGGGAGACCCTGATCGTCAAGGGCCAGGACCAGCCCACCGCACTCGCCAGACTCTGGCTCTTCAGGTCCTGTAAAGACGTCCTTGCTAGTGCTATGAAACTGCTCACCTTGGAGCCCCTCGACCGCATGTAATCCACTGCTTGTCTTCCTCTTCTGTATCTTCTGGCTGTGCCTGTCTTCTTGTGTCCCCCCCCCCCCTCAACCGAGTCTTAATCCATCCATCTGTGGAAATCTCATTGAACTGCATTTTCCTTTTTTTTGCGTGTGTTTTCTAAGCTCAGTTTGAAGTGTGTTGGGAAAGAGAACTGCTTGAGTTGAATTCATCGCTTCTATAATCATTTATATCCCTTGCAACCTACATTTTTTTGATAATGTGCATACAAATACATAAGAGAGACAGATCTCTGTTTTAGTCCTGCATAGTTGACCCAAGACAGCTAATCTGGACAAAAATCTACCCAAGACTGTAGTGTACATAGAGCATGTGATATGCATGCCAACAAAAAGGCCGAGTTGGATTGTAGGGGTTGCTTCATTCAATTTCTAGAATCTGATGTACGTTTGTCTGGAATAAGCTTGAATGTGCATCCTTTCTCTCAAAAGAAAAGTGGACCCGATCGAGGACAATGAGTGTTTGTTGGGTGTGATCTGGCTAACTGCAATGGTCTGGCTGAGTGTTTTCAGTTTATGTATATGTAGTGGGATTGGTTGACTTCCTGTCGAGATCTGTGGGCTTCCCAGAATTGATGGCCATTATTGCTGCAAAGTTCTCATCTGGCCTGTTTGGATCTACTTCAGAAATCCGCTTTCTGCGGGGACCCCAGATCTGTCGAGAAGTGATCCTCCATTGATTGATGATGTGAAGCTTTTTTTTGTTCCCTTTTTGTTTGGAAAAAAAAAAAAGTGGTGACATCTTTGTAAATCAGAATTAGAAATCAGTTGGAATGGTGATGGAGAAGCACCATGTAGAGATTCAAGACAGAATTTGTTGATCTTGGCAGCAAAGGTGTGTTGCCAATCAGTCTCTTAGGGGGGGGTATCAAATATAATAAAAATTGATTTTTGGAAACCAGTTATGTTTCCAAAAATAATGCTTTTGGTGTCAATGGGTCTCCAAAGGGACAGGTGAAAACCCAACACGTTCAAAAGAACAGTGGATGTTTCCAAACCAGTCAATTGAATCATGGTGGATTTGGTTATATTTGATACCCCCTAGACCATTTAAAAGTCATGTGGTTCAAGTGATTTATTTCTAATACAAAACATACATAAATAAGTAGATACATCAAATCATTAAGTGTAGTTCATGATTGGATGGTCAGAGTATATGGATTTTGGGCCCCACCTTAGAAAAACTTAGTTTCCAAGGGACTCAGTAACCAAGGCTTCCAAGGAATTAATGATGCAGTTGCAGGTCAACAGCTGAAGAGCCAAATCAAGATATGAGATTTTTTAACACTTTTATTTTCTTTTTTTGAGAGATGAAGGTCATCAAGCATTCTGATCTGGACAGTCCCAATAAAGCTCTTAGGTGAAAGACTTGTAAGTTGCACAGTCCATCATTGCTGGGCCACCAAAATGTTTGAGCATAGTCAGTCCAAGCACTTGTTAGGGCAGCCGCATCAGTTTGGCAATGCAATCAACAATGGGAAGTTATGTTGGCAATAACACTAATGTAATTATAACACAATTGAAGGGATTGGAAACTTTAGCGCTATGATAGCTGCAATAGCCTTGCCATTTATATTTTATCTTTGCCTTCTTGTTTTCTTTTCACTTCCATTGCATTATCCACCACAAAAACAGGTGGATATAAAACACATGAGGAGGTGTTTTGACCCCTTTTTTCCTTCTTCACTCTTATAACTTCTGCCTCACTCACTCTTCATTAATAATAATGAGGATCTACATAATCGTTGACTTGATTTATCCTTCATTATAGTCTGACTTGTCATGTTGTTATGAAGTTTGACCCCCTAGCTTGTAGTCTTGGAACCCTGACTAAGGAGGGCTTGTTATCTCTCATACATGCCTGCTTATCTTCTTGGATGTAGAACCTTCATTTTTGGTGCTTATTGTTGTACCCTCTTAATTGGTCTTGATTTGTTTCATTTTCTTATGTCTTCTTCTATTCATTACTCTTATTCAAAATTCTTATCAGCAACAGCTTGCACTCTTGGATCTAGTCTATTTAACTTAGAATACTACAAGAAATTAAAAACCATTGGTTCTCCTCCTTCCTTTTGCGCCCCAAGCCTGTTCCAGTAAGATCAAAAATCTGCCGCCCTTTTTCCTCAATCAACTGGATTATAAGCTTAGATTTCAACAGGTTTGCCTCATATAACACGGAAAACACATTATCCATGTTAATTTTCTCTGTAACAAGGGGTAAAAGTCTCCTTGTTCCGTTGCTTGAGCCTCAAAAATGCAGGTTTTCCAGGTTATCTGGTAACACTGGGAAGTTATGTTACAAAAGTCCATTTGGATATCAGAACATATGTAACTTCCCATTGTTAATGAAATGATAATAATAGGGCAATACTGCCCCACATCACATCACTTACAGTGTTGGACAGATCAATCCGGGTTTTTATATGGCTGTTCAATAGCTGGATTGTTTTTTGTATTTACAAAAGACTTGAGTTGATCATCTGGTAAGGGATTTCAGACATAATTCATCATTCTTCACTTCTCAAATTGCCCAATTCAAAATTCATTTTACCAATGAACAATTGATGATCACCCAATGGCAAGTGACATCTCATATTGGAAAGCCAGATTTGTGATGATGGATGCTACTTTTCATTGAATGTTCTTCAATTCTCCCTGATGTGTTGGGATTCTACAATTATTTGATTGGCAATTTATTGAAAAAATGTTGATTTTTTGGGTAAAAAGAAGACTTGACATCAGTTTGGGCGTATCTTGGTTACAATTGTGATAAAATCATGAAGCTTGGAATTACTTACTAGTATTTGCCTCCAATTTCAGGGAGTTTGACCTTGTTTTTTCTGGATGTTGAGAGGTTTTACTCAATGACCTTTTGCCTCTTTTGATGGTGTTTCTTAAATTAGGGACCTGTCTTGGTCTAACATTGCTGTTGACAAATGTGAATTGGAGGCTAACACCAGCATCAGATTGCATGACACTCTGTTTGGCTCTCTGAGCCTTTCTTTTTAGTTATATGTAGATATTCAGATTGTGAATGATAATTTGTCAACAGGCAAGAGTGTAACACATGTAGTGACACTCTTGACTGCAACAAATAGTATAAATTATAAAGTAAAATGTAATAAGAATAAAACATAAATAATGGAGAACAAACAGATAATCAACACCAAGTAAGACTGTAAATTGATGAGATCACCAGCAGGTGGAGGTTAGAATAAAGACAAACATAAATTCAAATCTGCTGAGTAAGAATTATCTTAAAACAAGTAGGCTACCTCGGTCCAACTGAGGACCCTTATTTAAACTTGAGCTATGAGCTCATTGTTTAACTATGGGGGACAACCCCAAAAGTGAAGCTAATAATATTTAAGGACAGGACTCAAGAGATGAATGGGAGTCTTTCCTCTTTTTCCCGAGTGTTAAAACCCTTACTTATCTTTAGATATACTATAAAATCCACCTACACCAAAGAGCATTTGCTAAAGGAAACACCCTTCAGACATACCCCTTGACTAGGACTTTTTACTGTATCCTGACAATAAATTATTAGCACCTCTCAAATCTTATATCCGTACAAGTTCTGGTAACTTGAACTGTTATCCATAGCTTTTTATCTTGATCTATTCTTTCCCAACTCGACTACTGGTCTGAGTATTGGACTGCCCTGGCTCTTTGCTTCAGGAAGCTCGAGTAAGTCTCAAGAGCCTTGACTTGAGCCTCAAAAGAAAGATATTAACATCCAAACCATTTCCTTTTGGTCTACGGCTAGAACACTACAGATCTTCCCTTCTGTATGTAGTATAAGCCTGACATAATTCAAGTTAAACTCAGGTTGAATTGATTTGAATTGATACACCCACCATTGAATTGTATTTTCATTGGAATGGAACACAAATTTTAACAACTGTGTGTGATTTTGTTCAAAACACAAGTCTACACATTGCAATTTGTGGACCTAACATTTCAATTCCCTCTCCTGGTTTTTTTACGTCTGATGTACAGACTGTGGACTGGAAATTATCACATGAATCATTCACCATTCACAGTGTTAATATGGGCAACCAAACCATTCATGCCTATTTCCTAAACTTGAAAAGTAGTGGAATCAGAAATGATAAGGTCTTGATTCAGATCTCCTTGGGGGTTTTCTGATTGATTGGGACTCATCCAGTAGACCAGCCAATGGTTGAAAACATTCAATCTCAAAATAATTTACATCAGGCCACTATTAATCTAGTAACTCTCTCAAAGATGGATCCAAGTAGAACAAGCGGGATATTATTCAAACCTTTTATGTATTTAATCCAAAGTAATAGATAAGTGAAGTAATGTAGTAATCTCTTTAAAATAAAAATTATGATTTGAAATGTATCTTCAAATGGTTCAGTTCTGGGCCCTCTGTTTTTCAAAGCAATAAGTACACTTGTGCAAGCATATTGTAACAAAAATTTAAAACTTTGTTTGGAACATTTTATGTTTTTTGTATGGAAAAGGATTTATAAAATTTGTTTCACATCTAGATTCTTGATCTACTGTATTCAAGCAAGCTTGACTGAGGGAGACATGCTTATAGGTATGCTGTATGTATAGAAATATTTCTGTCTGCAGAAAGTATCAAACTATCAATATGGTTTCCCTTTTGCTTCACGACGGACCAAATGGATGGACTTTTGGGATCCAGAAGGGTGTACAAAACGTTTCTGCTGGATAGCCTTCGGGTCAGGATTGCGTGAAAGCTGACCTAGAGATCTTCGAGAGAGCTGCAAGACGGTGCAAGTGAGAAGATGATGTCAATTACGATTTTTGTCAAGATTGTGGCATTGTAAACTTTGGTTGGCCTTGAGATAAAAGAGCAGGGAGATTATTTTACCTTGCCAGCACCACTAGAGAAGACAGATAGCGCAATCAAACAATTGAAAAATATCAACGTAACGAGTGAGATGCGAGCCATTGCAGGATGTGCTAGTTCGAGCGGATGAATCTGGAGTATGACAGAAATATGGAGTCAGATGAGCGCTCAGCATCTTTTCGAGCATTTTAGGTCCGACAGGTTGCCCATACATACTCGGTGGGAAAAAGGAGGTTATCGAGTCGCGATGGTAAAACAGCCGGTGGCCTGTAGCCTTCCAGATAAATAAGCAAATAATAGGCTTTCCGGGGAAGTCGGGATGAATACTTGGAAGATGAGGAGGCAGGCAGCGAATCCAACGACCTTTAAAAGGTGTTCCAATGGGTCGCAGGCACTTGTAATCACACCTGTGGCAAGTTTCGGCGAACCGACGGACGGCATACTATTTCTAGCCGATTCCCCGCAAGCTCGATCGATGTTTAATTGAGCTGGAAATATAACTGAATGCAATTTACCCTGTACACCTCTTCCGCTCATGAGTGTTAATCAGTTCATTCACTGCGCTCGTCGATGTATTGTGGCAAATGGCTTGCCATCGAAATGTATAGAAATGTATGTAGAAACTGCGGCATCAGCTCCTCAAAGCGGTGTTATCCAGTTGAAATAAAAAAAGCTTGATCATCGCACAGGGAGGGCAGTGGGCACCCGTTGCCTGAATGGTAAAACTGCCGGTGCAGAAAAAAGTTGAGGATGTTGGTCCGAAATAATGTTTCGGAGAGTCCGGCCCTGCTTCAAGCGCGTGATGTAAATTGCTCCTCAACAGAAAAAAGTAAACTGCATCAATGGCATCGGTGCGGCACTCCACCCAAGTTGCCTGCGTCATTGTTTCAAGCACATGCTCATTCTTCAATCATTTTTACTTTGGACTTACAGCCGGATCTGGGCCGGTGACCAACCACCGATTGACAGTGAGCGACCCAGTTGAAAATTTCGGATGATGAGCACATGTCCTTCCATATCAGTAAGAATCTGCCTCAATATGTATTGGTCCTTACTTGACTGGAAAAGTGCTGTATGTCCAAAGCAGTCAATGAGTCTATGAAGGACTGGAGGACTTCCCATCGCCATTTAGAGTGCTTTTTAAGCCCTCCCCAGTCCTAAATTAACACTTCAATCATAATTCCAACCAGCTCACATGAGAGCTATCTTCACAAGGCTTGTGAAAAAACAGATTTTTATACAATAAATTAAGATCTAGGGGGTTTAAATCAAATTCTGGGAGGGTTGTTAACCGCAACAGGAAGTCATCCACTGTCAAGTTGGATAAAGATGCAAAAATAAGGTCATGTGCTAACATCATTTCATATTGATTCCAATATGTTTGACTGAGCCCTGTATTTTACTCTCTGGAGTTTCACGGAAATCTTGGAAATCCATCCAGGTAAATCAGAAGTAGAATATCAAGATGTTGTGCAAAAATCTCATTCTTGATTTGATGTTCAGAAAATCTCTTGCTGATAGGTGTAAGTATCCTTCATTGTGATTTCACTCACTCAGGTAAAAAGGTCTACTTGGAACCAATGTATTATTTTTTGTCAATTTAAATTATCAATCCAGTGGATGACTTCCCGTCGCAATCTACAACCCTCCCAGAAGTTGTTTTACACCCCCTAGATCTAATTTTTTTGTCAATTTTTTTTTATGAAGCCTAGCGACACTGTCTAGACTAACCGGTCGGACCGGCCTGTCCGACAAGTCCTTGGAAGGGTTTGTCCAAGCGGCTCTTGGGCATGGCTGTCCGGTGAGTCGTAGAACCGGCTCGTCCAAGCAGTTGCCAGGCAGGGTCATCTGCTCCGACAGGCAAGTCCAACGTCTTGTTGGACAGTCATGTCCGAGAACTCGTCGGACAGGCCGGTCCAAGCAATCATTCAACCCAGTGCGGCAATAGCTCTCACATGAGCTGGTTGGAATCTTAATTGCTTTCTTAATTTAAGACTGACAGAGGTCTAAAAAGTGCTCTAAATTGTGATGGGAAGTCCTCCAGTATTTGAGCCTTTAGAGGGTTTAAATTTAATTTACCATCAATTTTGAGTGGGCAAAATACTAACTTCCACATTTTAAATGGTACCTCCATCAATGCTGTCACAGATACGATACACTGTATGTATCATGGAGAATTCTGCAAATCTGCATGGCCAAAAACCAAATTTGTTGAATCTCCTTGCAAATAAAAGCAGATTGGTCAGATAGGTTTTTTTATTGGGGCTCAGATACATAGTGATACATGGCAGATACATGGCAGATACCGTATCTGTGACAGCACTGCCTCCATTTCAAGAATTGGCAGTTGAGTGACTTGGAAATATGAAAAGAGATTGCAGTAAAACAATTTATTATGTTTACAGCTACCACAATTATGGTGTTCAAAGATGATTATGAAAATGTTATGCGACTTTTATGCATGCATACTTCATAAATAATCATTACATCTTGTTTGGTGGAAAACCTCCAGATTAGATTATAATTAGATTGTTGAGATTCCCCCAAAACAAGTTTTGATTATTTATGGAATGTGCATGCATAAATGTTTTCAAATTTAATTTGAGCACCAAAAACATATTAATGTACTGGATAAACAAGTAATCTTACTGTGGACTGTGGTGTTACTATATAGTTTTCTCCCTCATAAATTGGATAGGTTGCACTGGATCATAAGTTGCCCAATCAACTTTAACTGAAAAAAGAAGAATTGCTCTTGAATTTAATCCCATAGAAAAACCAATTCAATCAGTTGACTGATTGAAAGGGTTATTGCACTGTTATATCTCTGCTACAGAAAGAGGCCAATTTTGTGCTTATTCACAACCTGTAATAAATTATAATGATGCCTCAAGGACATACTATACATCAAAAGATATTTCACTGGCCACATAACAAATATGTATACATGATAGGATACTGCTTCTAAGCTTCCTATATAAATTTGCTGAATATTTTCTTGTTCAGTGTCTGATTGAGCATCTTTTGATGCATAGTATGTACATACTTGTAACAGAAGTCTCACAGGCTTGTATCTTTCTCACAGATTTTTTTGTAGATGGAGCCACAAAAGTGAAATGCCCTTTGCTGCATTTATCTGGAATGGAGAAAATATCATTCTACTCTATTCATTCATATTGATTATAGTTCTAGTCTTGTAGACAACTGGTTAATCCCTTGTGTAAAGTCTTGATTCAGGTTTGTGGGTACTGAGCAGTTCCTGGGGGCCCTTCGGGCCGGAGTGAGTTCATCAATTCAAACACTTCTGTCCACCAGGACCTCATAACGTTTTGTTCATTTACAGCAAATCTTTGAGGTCTTTTTTTTGTTATGCTAGCTTTCTTCAAGAAGAGCTAATGGGATGTTACTGGTGCGCACTGCGCGCCCTGTGTCCTGGATTGCGGGCACAAGGGTGTTGATGCAAAATGAAATCTGGGGCTTCACGAGCAATGGTCAAGACGCCAAAGGATGTTTGTCGCTAATGTTGCTGCAACTTTTCACCTTTCCAACTACCACTTCAACGGCTCAGTAAAAACGGACTACTTCCGTCCCCATGGCTAAAAAACGAGCGCAAAATTCCAAACGGGCAAGCAGTGCATTAAATATTTCAGATGGGCCAGTTCTCGGAATCAGTAAACTAAAGAGTCAACTCCGCCAAGCAAAACGGCTTCTACTTAAGGACGGTCTGAGTCCAGAACTGAGGAGCACCACAGAGAAAAGAATAGAACAACTGCAGGCGTCGATGGAGCATGTTCCAAGTAAAGAACAGGAACGACGAAATGCGATCAAGTACCATCGAATCAAGTTTTTCGGTAAACACTTTTCAATATTAACCTCATCTTTCTTTCTAGGCTGGGCGCTCAATTCATGTTTGTGCGATGTATCAAATGTTTTAGATCGGAAAAAGGTGGATCGGCGATTGAAAAAAGTACTCACTCAACTAGACCAACTCAACTCAACTAAAAACCCGAAGAAAAGTCAGCAGCAGAAGCTCGAGCTTGAAGCCCAACACCTCCGCATAGACCTGAACTATATCCGAGTATGTCCTACATTTTACTTGCTTTAAAGAGAATGCGTAGCTGAATGAAATGGGTTTGAACAGCATTATCCCAAACATCTCAAATACGTTTCCCTCTGCCCTGGCGGAGAATACAAAGATCATGAAACCACCACCACCTCATCACTTCCAGACGCTACCCCATCAAGCAAGGAGCCCGATGGACTAAGGAGTTATGTTCGAATCTTAATTCATCAGTCGATGGAGTCCGGAACACTGAGTAAAACGCCAGACACAGACGATCAGAATGTGACTGAGGAGGCCGATGAATTAGAACTTTCTAACGTGGCGGCGGAAGATGACGAGTTTTTCGAGCATGATGGCGATTGAGGACATTTGTAGAGCTACGTTGCACAGGAAGCATTGCAAATATTTATGTGATCTCAACATGCCTAATGACAGAAATAAGAAGCAGGCAAATTTCCACAGACAACAGCTTTACCAAGATTACTTGACAACATTGTCCATGTCTATTTTTGCATTAACTTCATCTGTACTTGTATTTTCGATTTCTTTTCCTATTGCACCGCATCTCTTTGGGCCAATCCTCTCAGTCTCTTTTCCTCTTTGGCATGATAGCATTCATGACCAGGAAAAAAGAGACCACTCACCAGCCTGGGAAATGCTAGCCATAATTTGAGCCCTGCATCCAGCTTTCCATTGCTAACTGTAGCAACAGTTAGCTGAGAACACAACTGGGCAAAGTCAACACTGATGTAGCTTGAGCTAACCTGATGCAGTTGAATTTTGTTGCTAAACCGCTTGAGCAACTCCACTGCCACATCTCTAAATTGGATCTGAATTTATTCACAAGATACAGGCCACCAAGTGGAAATAGTGACTCAGGCTCTTGTTCTGCCACTCTCATGAGGCAGCCTGAAAATTGGAGTGGCATGTTACTTGAGTGCAATATTGGTGGAGCACTGAGGTAGACTGAGGTGCCACCCAGTCCAAGGGTTGCAGTACATAATGTCTTGTGATGAGCAAGGCCAAGAAAAAATCCCCGATTTGCTCCCGGGGTTCGGACTGAGCCATAGGGCATAGGCTGCGGTGCCACTGCAGACACTTCAAATCTTATCCGCACGTGTCTCAGGCTTCAGCCGGTCACTATCTCATCACGGCTCGCGTTCCGTGGCCGCCCATGCCGAGCAGACAACCACTTTCTTCCTCTCCAGACGGCTGACGGCCACACCCCACATATCTGCATATATCCACAGGCATGGCCACCTCTTCTCAAAGCTACGCGTATACTGAAAACAGTAGCAATCCCAGCCACCCCACACCCAATAATCGGCTCCTATGGCGCGGCTCCATAATCAATCAAACCGGTGCCAGGCTCCACGGTAGGCTCTTGGAATTTCACCCGCGTTCTACGTAATTCTTTGCTTACCAATTCGATCTCCGATATTGATAGGCCTGGCAATCGTTGCAAATGCGATCAACCCCAAGGAGCTCTCGAAAATCAGGGATGACCCGTTTTCGGCGGAGTCTGGTTCGCACACCTTGAGTGACACTTGTCTGGAGCTCGAGATGCTTCGCGGTCGCGACCTTCAAATCGATAAGATCTGTCAGCTCACACTCGAATCTAAACCACGTGATGATTATGCGCTGCAAGGCATCCAAACTGGCTCACGAAAATCCAGAGTGGCCAGTCTATTGAAGGGCAAAGATCCCGAGACGAGTGATGCAAATCGAGTAATACCGTTTTCAGAAATCGAATGTGATCCCGAGGTCAGACTATACGTCGATCCTCGATGTAGTCAAACCCATACTTGGATCATCTCTCAGCTCGGAAAACGGGAACTCACTCCTGGGGGTTTTACTAGCAATGCCCTGATCGTCACCTTGGATCACACTGTCGACGGTAGGTGCTCCCACTTCCATCCTCCTCATATTGCGCGACGTGAGAAGTGACCCGTTGACAGTCATTCTGCAGATCGACTTCCACAACAATTGGTCATCTTCGGGCGTCGCGCGGAAGAGGCCACTGTTCAACCATCAAGCTCTAATGCGTCGGTACCTTTACAATTGGTGATTGGCCAACGGAAGCCTCTACTCAGTCAAAGAATTCCTCGTCCCGATGATCCGATGCCGCGTGGTAAGCATTCTGTTCATCTATCCACTCGGCGCGCACAGTCTACTCTAAGAAAATTTGAGATCCTTTTAGCTATCCCAGGCACGCTATTTGCCGACACTACAAAGTCTAGAAACAAGAAATCAGTTGGCACCACCATCCTTAGCAAATCAAAAGGTCAAGCTCGCCTACCAGCCGACCAGGCCACAAGCTCATCATTTCTTGTCGAACCGTCTTCTATCAAAGCCCCAGAAACATATCCATCCAGACCCAATAGCTTCATATCAGCTCTGAGAGCTTCACAAAAGCAGAATGTCAAAGTTGTCAAAAAACCAGCCAACACCCCGGGTAGACGGGCCAAGCAAGATTTATCTGCATCTGAGCATGAATCCGATAATCAAAACTCGCGCGAAGGGACAGAATCTGTATCCTCCAGACGAGCCGGAAAACGAAAATCAGGAAACACGAGCCGCCATTCGGTGAAGAAAATGAAGACAACCGCCAAAACACTACAATATGGAGATCAGTTCCCAGATCTACGTGCGTCTCTTGAAGAGGATGAATATAACGATGGCGAAGAAGACGTGAATACCGGGAACAGTTTTGAAGTCCACAGATCACCCTCACCCTCGCCTGCTTCATTCAGGCGTAAAACTATATCCCATATTCCTACGCCTGAGACATTGAACTCGCCATCTGAAATCATGAACCATCCTGATCGCCCCTCCTATACCCTCATGGACTCGACCAATCAACGGACAACCTCTCATTCTAAAGCTAAAGGTCCAAAAGATCATTCAAAATCTCGAAATGTTGCGTCGCCAAGGGATCTACCCAACCCCGAGCAGCAAGCCTCAAAAGCCAAGTCAGACTCATCCTCACACTTGGCACAGAACAAACTAGTGCGTCGTTCACTTCATTCCTCATCACTCACCATCTTTTCTTTTCATTTTGTCTCTTAACGCTGAAAGTATGTCTACTATTTCTTCTTAGTTGATTCGAAAACTTACATCGGAATCTCTGAATAATCGGGGACTGCACAAGCAACACCCCAAGTTCAAAGACTTGTACGGAGCTGTTTGTAGAGGAGTGCAATTTGCGATGGTTAGTCCACCTTTTTTTTATCCCCCTTCTTTTGCTTCTTTGATTACTTTATTTATTTATTTTTTGCTAAACTTTCATCATATATCCATTTTTGGTTCTTCTTTTTCGTGATCGATGATTTGATGTTTCAATGGATGCAGAGAGAAGCATTAGAGAAACAAGCGATCGATAAAAACTTGACCAAGACTTTTGTCGAAAGTCATTTAGCGATGTACATGATCCTCAATTCAGAAAATTCTTGACCAAGCCTTACCCCATCGATCCCCTCATCCACAATCGTCCTCATTGAAACCAGGGTTTTTTCCCCCATTTTTGTTGAATGTTTTTATTTGATTGCAACATGTATCTATGTATGTACTATGATTTGTGCGAGATAAGTGTCTCCCGCGGTCCATGTTCCTTTTCCCAACCAGCTCTTTTTTTCAAAGACCACTGTTTGTCCAGTCTGCAACTGAACATTGAAAACGAACCTCAAAAAGCTGATATAACATTGTACATAGTTAAACTCATATACAGATATGATGACGATCAAGACCTAAACTGAAATAACTTATTGTGTATTACTTTTGATTTGAAACTTGTTGACACTGTTGATGTTGCGCAGCGTTGTTCTTCCGCTCAAGCTCCGTCACCAAAAGTCAGATCTGCATAAAAAAACGTCTGATCACACGCCCCAGTTGTTGGGGAACCTAACGGAATCAAGTCCCTCTTTGTCGAGGGGGGACGCCGCCCCGCAGGCAAGGAACTTAGTCGTGATTCCACTTCCAGTGACGAGGGCCCCCACTTTGTCCCATTCAAATGTGGCCTTGGATTGTAGCTTCATATAGCAAAGAGTTTTGAAATCCGCAAAAAGAAAGAAAACACTGAAGATAAGACAAGAAAGCCAGTTTCAAGTCTCCTGGGAGTGTTAAAATTATTTTTTTTCGGTGATGATTTGTGATGCTCTGATCAGCACTCGACTATGTCGCATTTACCTGGGAGTGTGGGTTTTATGCGCCAATGCTGCAGAGGACTTAGCTTGGTATGAATGGGGGCCATTGAATTCTCAAGACCTCGCCGATCGTCAAGCTCCCAACTTGGATGCCCTTCTCCATGCCAGCCTAACACCGACTCTTCCAAACTCTGATGGAGCGAAGGTGGTCAATACTGCAGCTCAATCCACCTATTCCTATTCGAACTCAGAGAAGTCGCTGCAACAAGCTCACCTTGAAGTTGGAAGAAACGTGCAAGACTGGGGTCCACAACTTCCTGGCATTCACGGGACTTCTACCACCTCAGTCCAGCCAATGCTAGATTCGGCCTTGACAACTTGGTCTGATCCGTATAGTGAGCTTGCCACAAATGTTCGTGGAGGTCATCCAAACTCTGCAATCGGAAACACGCAATTCCATCTCAGCCATGTTCCCAATACCGGGGGCTTGTCAGCGGCTTCAACTGGCTGGCTGGATCCAATCCATCAAGCTTGGCTTGCGCAGAGACCGGATGGACCAATTTCCCACAATTCACCCTTAGGTGCTGGCGCCGAAACGGCTCCGTGGCTGACAGAAATGGACGCAGGATCAAGCCATCAATATTCCACTCATGGAATGACGGCTATGAGATCTTCAAAGCAGTCCACCAATCTACCATACCCAAGCTTCCTGTATTCTGGATCTCATGCCATGGTCCAACCAAGCAAAAAGATTAAAATTGACCGTCCTTTAGCTGATGCTCATGTCCAGAGTTCTTCAATTGAAACAATGTCAAGTGATCCGTTAATAGCATTTCAAAATCAGCCAGGGTCCGCAAACAAATTCAATCTTATGATCAACAGTTCTCTTGGAAGAGAAGCATTTTCAGGGAACTATATCAGTACTAATCCAATGGACCACCAACCTTGGAACAATCTTCTACCAAATGAAGACATGATGTTCCAGGGTAGACCAGCATTCCAATTTGCAACCAACATGGTCAGGCCAGAGGAAAGGGGTTTTAAGAGGCCTATTGACATCCTCCGGTTTGACCTGCCAGTCTTTTTACCATACGATGATCCAGCAGACCGACTGTTGGTAGATTCGATGATTTCATTCATCGATGCAATCAAAACCGAAACGAGTCAACCCTTCATCTCAGGAGACCAGCTCTCCAGAATCCACGAGATCTTGAGCGATTTCTCTGGCCAATTTATCGCTCGGAAACGGAAGGAAGCCACGACCAAGATCCGGAAACCTGCATCTGCAAGACCAGACCCTCAGACTCAAAAGATCCCTCACATTCACAACTCAAGTAGAAAGTGGCGCCAGAAAAACATGCAAAACCTTTCGGTAAACCGCTTGATGTCAAAAAGACATCTCTGGTATAAGTTCTGGAACAAGAGGACTGGCATAGACCTTCAAGATGCCGCTACTGATATGAGTGTACAGGTCACATTCAAACGAGATCTTACCATCCTCTTATTTTATGTTGACATGATTGGAATCCTATTCCAACAACCGCAACTTGACTCGGATATCCACAAAGATATAAACCACACTCTTCTTCGACAAGCACTGGGCATAGCTTACACAGATGCTCCAAAGAAAGGGGCATGCAAGTCCAAACCCAATGAAATCTGCAATGTCAATTCTAATCTCAACAGGAAGAAGAAGTCGTACCAAGTCAAGCTGATATGGTATTGGATTGAAAAGCTGATCTTGAGCTCTAACAATCCATTTTTGCAACTGATTTTCTTTCCTAATCAGGATGGTAAAATTGAAAAGAACACCAAGGTGTTCTTCAATAATCTTTTTCATTATTCAATAGAAAATTTGAATCAACGACTAGAAAAGTACAAATACTTATACAATTGATCATTTTATCAGAAAAGAAGGTATACTAGGACGGTTCACATTTCAATGAATCTTGTGTTGACTTCAAATGAACTTCTGTTCTGTTGATTTGTCACAGTAGTGTTAATTTCATAACCTCCAGTACAGATGGTCTGCTGAAATCAGATATATATATTGGAGGACTTCCCGTTGGATCTGGGACCCTCATAGTTTTTGATTTAGACCCAAAAAGTCTAGATTTTCACAGGGAAATCTAGCTTTTTTGGCTCTAAATGGAAACTGGGAGACCCGCAGATGTTGACGGGAAGTCATCCATTTTGCTGCAAATTGTGAGATGTACTCAGTATCATATATGCATCCTGCCCATTTGATAGTCAAATCCAATTATCAAAAATCTGACTTCCCGTCAACATCTGCGGTAAAGATGACAATCAGTACCCAGGTACCTCTAGCGGTACCCTGGTACCACCTTTGTTTTTCTCAGAGATGGACACCAGGTACCTCACCTGGCACCCCCTGGCAGTTACCAGCAGTACTTTGGGCGGGTACCAGCAGTAACCGTGGCCGCGGTGCAAATGGCACTCTTATGACTTGAAATTGCAGTTCACTTTTTTTTTTCTCACTATATGTGAGTATTGTGTTGAGCTAATCTTCTAGTACTACCACCTTTCTTTTACCTTTCCCATCTGATTTACCCTTCTTAGCAGTCTGAATACCATCTTTCCACTTGGCCAACACCCCTTCCTTTATGATCCCATTTTTTGAGTAGAAGGCAACAGCCATCCTTTTACTTAGTGACTGTGCAACAAAGAGGGTACCTCTAGCAGGACCCTGGTACCACTTTTTTTTGCTCCAAAATGGACACCAGGTACCTCACCTGGCACCCCCTGGCAGGTGCCAGGCGGGTCCGAGCAGTACCAGGCAAACAGGTGCCAGGCGGGTCCGAGCAGTACCAGGCAAACAGGTGCCAGGCGGGTCCGAGCAGTACCAGGCAAACAGGTGCCAGGTACCTCCAAGCGGGTACCGATTGTCATCTTTAATCTGCGGGTCTCCCAGTTTTGATTTAGAGCCGCAAAAGCTAGATTTCCCTGCGAAAATCTAGACTTTTTGGGTCTAAACCGCAAACCGCGAGGGTCGCAGATCCGACGGGAAGTCCTCAAATTGCAAACTGCAAGGGTCCCAGATCCGGCGGGAAGTCCTCCATTGATTAGATAACTGTTGAGACCATGTGCTTTCCTTCTGATTGTGTATTCCTCATTCCATTCTCTACTCTTGTGAGTGTACTCAAACCCTTATTTGCTTTACCTTGAACTTCCAGATCCATGCTCCAGTCATTGACTTGATCTACCTCTGCATATACCTTGTCCAGTCTTACTGCTATGGAATTTGCTGAAAAGTCCTTGTGATCAATCATCATAATGCCTTGGAGGATTGTAGGGCTTGTTTTCTCTCATATTACTACTCTTGTCATCTGGTCAGCCAATTTGAGAAGTTTGAGCTATCTTCCAGTGGACATCATCATGGGTGTCATTTGTGAAGTTAAACCTTCTCAGAACACCCCAATTATGTGAGAAGATGGGATAATATTACTCTCCTGAGAGGTGGAGCATCAAGGTCAACAACCAACCCTCTCTGGCCAGAGTGATAATTCTATATCTTTACTATATATACATACATCAAAAATTCAACACGGACAAAGAAAACCCCTGGCCCCCTAGCCATATCAATTGCAACCATCAAAAATACAACCAAAAAAGAAAAAAGGGAAAAAAATACATGATGATGATGATGGGCTGTGGTTGCATTATATAGTCTACATAGGATCAACAAAAACAATCTAAATAAAGAAGTAAAAGTAAGGTTGTGTTAAGATTAGATTGTATTCAAGTCTTGATAAATGTGATTTTGAATCTTTGTTTTTTTTTTTGCTTGAACTTGCCATGAGATCTAATTGAATGACTATACCTATAAGAGAAAGCGAAAGAGAGAGTGCAGCTTTGCGGGAGAAGGAAGGGAGAGAGGGGATCGAAATGATTGGGGTGTAGAGATGAATGTTGGATAACTACTTTGGTAATTTAGATAACTGAGTTTTTCGTAAGTTGGAGGCTAGGATGAGGAGCAGGACGGTGTAATCTTCGAGGATGTCTTTGATTCCAAATAGTAATGCTTGAGACAGGACGGCCTTCATGATTTGAGCTTGCATGCCCTATTAACATTAGATGAAAATGTTCCAAATAAATTATCAAGGAGAAACATAGAAAATGATCAGTATCATTTCTTGTTGTCTCTCTCACAGAGGAAAAATTGATCAAGAATTGAATGAAAAGTAGTGGCAAACCTGATACCATCCCGAACAACCTTTCTCGGCATAAACTTGTCTCAAGACGTCGATTGCCCCAGAGTAACGTTCCTTTGGAGGAGGAAGTTTCTTAGAAGGCGAAGATTTTTCGGATGCTTGAGAATGATCGTCGGAGGTAGGCGTATCGTACTTAGCCTGAAGCCTGACCTTGGCCATAATATAAGGATAAGTGATCACAGTGGCGAGAGTTTTGCTGAGGGCGCCCATCCAGAAGGCTTTTCCAGGGGTCATCTTGCCCTCAGGCCCCAAGACGATCAGCTTCAAGCGTTCGAAGCTCCCATAGGTGATCGCTGGGTTGACGGTCAAGACCAAGGATGGCTTGAGCCCTCGCCACAATCCCGTCGGCCCATCGTCGCGGATGATCTCTGAGGCGGTGGTCAGTAAGGATTTTCCTCCGGTTTTCGAGTTGTCTAGTTGCTGTCGGGTCGCAACGACTGAGACTGGGATCGTGAAGATTTGGGCAATCGCTCCTGCTAGGGCTCCCAAGGACAATTCAGTTCTATGGAGGAAGAGTTAGGATTGATCACTCGATCAGCAAACTTAAACAAAGCTCAGGAAGAGTGCCTCAATGGTACTCACATGATGCTTAGGTTCGGTGCTTTAGAAGGACCGGCTCCGGATGATTTGGGAAGGACCCTTGTAGTGTAAGTCTTCCTTACGACCATGTACCAATAGAAATAAGCGCTAATGAGATCAATGAAAACCAATAGGAAGAGATCAATTACACTATCATCGTACTTGGTTGTCTCAGGAGGCAGGCTTAATAAAGATAATTGATGGAGAGAAGACTGACAACTGCATTGAGAATGTGTTGAGCATACTAGCCAAGAAGCCGCGATAAAATCCGCCGATACCCTGCGACTTGAGGACTTGGAGGACGACCTGGAAGGCGGTTGAGCGGCAGGCTGCCGGCAGTCGATTAGGGGCATTTGGACGCTTGAGTTGTGGGCTTGGAAGGCTGTCCTTTTCCGACACGAGTTCGTCAGTCTGGGCTTGGATCTTGGTCTTGACGGTGTCCAATGGGTACACGACCGCGTTCGAGATCACCCCTCCGATCGCTCCGGCTAAGGCATTCCCGAACGGCGTTAGATCTTTCCCGCCCATCTCCTTTGGTAACTGTCGAGGATAACAGAAGTGTGCTGTTGTGAAAGTGGGCTCGTTAAAAAACCTTGATGTCCGATGTCCGAGCTGTTTCGTTCCTTCTAGAAGATTTGAGTATCAAGAGACAGTCGATCTGGTTTCGGATGGTTTTCAGGAGTCAGGTGAGTTGATTGAGTTGTTGGTGGTTCTATGGAGGTCTCTTAATCTTGGCAGTTGCCAGGTGGTCCACCCAAGTAGGAAAGTCTAGACTCTCGACTATGTACAGCACTACAGACTTGTCATGGGCACCTCACTCAAACTTATCTCAATCCTATGTAGTGCAGATAAGGAATGGAAAAAAGTCTGTTTACTCAAAACAAGTGAATATCCTTTATAAAAAAAGTATTTAGCAAGTGGTAAGGATTGGTTACAATCACTTCCAGAAAATAACAAGGTGTGGTCAATTGGCATACAAAACAACCATAAAGCTCTTCATAAGTACAATCTATATGCACATCACCTGATTGGCTACTAATCAATTTACTACCAATTGATAGACAGATTTATTTCCAAGTGGATTGAAAAGATAAGAGAGTTTTTATATAGGTAGATGAATAGAAATCCCACAGGCACTTCTAGAACACAGAACATCTAATGGATGTCTCAGATCATTACTGTCCTAAAAAGAAACACTTCAGAGTGGTCCAGTACCCAAACTCACACAACCAACTACTTACTGGCCTGGGTATATTTAGGCTGATGAAAGTAGAGGAAAAAGAGCCATTGCATGTATTGTAGGGTCAACCATTCATCCAACCCAGTTTACTTTGAGGGACTCACTATTATCATGTGGTTCTGCATCTCTTATTTCTGGGAAAAAAGGGCAGGTGGGTGTGTGGTCACAATTGTTATCATATAGACCTTCCAATCTGACCAAAATAAGAAATTTGTTTTCATCTATTGGTTGATTTTTTTTTCTTCTTCTTTATTCAAGGAAAATGAAGCCCTTATCAAACAAATGACAATCAAACTGACCCACAAATGTGATGTGTTTGAAGACAGAAAGACAGAGAGAAAGAAAAAGAAAAAAAAGGAGAACAGAGAAGGAGAAAGAGAGAGAATGTGTTGGGTTCTATGGAAGATAGTAGTAATTTCCCATCACTCATTGGGATTGATCAACTACTGTTTTCTTTCTTCTATGCATAGTTTTCTTTTTTTTTTTTGTTCCTTAGGACTAGAAAGTATAGGACTAGAAAGTATATATGAGGCAAGGCAGCTGAGATTGATATTTCATGATTTCCTTTGTTTTTTGTTGATGGTGAGATCAAGATACGAGTAAGTTTAATCTAGACGAAATCTCAACTTGGTCTCTAACTAAAGCAGCAACATAAGATACCATCAATACATCCTAGTAAAAATGAGAGAAGAGAAAAAAAAGAAGAAAAAGAAAAAAGTGGAAACCACAAGAAATTCGCATCAACGACTCGTCTTCCCTCAAGGTTTTTAGAATAATACTATCAAGAACTTACTGCGATGTGCGATTGGAAATCATCCTCAAATTGTGAATGAACATCACCGCCTTTGCTGGCCGATCCAGTTTGAGATCGTAGCAGGCCAAGCGGTAAGGAGCCCATGGTGTCCAGTAAAAGCCTTCCGACCTGATTGTTACCTTTGATTTGGCCCTTGTTGACCTTCTCGACGTATTCATAGACTTGGTCGAGCATGTTCTTGAGCTTAGTAAGCAGCTGATGGAGATGTTGCATTGGGAGATCGGTCTTGAGAGGTTCCTTGAGCTGAGCCATGATCTTCTGTTGTTGGTTTTTAAGGTCGCTCTCGATGTTTTGGTTGGCAGCGGTGGAATCAAGGATCGGTTTGGTGAGCAGTTCCATCGTCGTTCGTTCAGGGGTGGGTATCGATAAGGAGCATGGGATCGGCTTGAAGAGCAGGTTCAAGGTTTGAAGAGTCGACAGTCCGATCGGCGAGGAGACGAAGGTCTTGAAGGTCAACGTGACTGGGTCGAGGGTCAAGTGGACCGCGGGTAATGGGATTGCTTCGAGGTTATAGAAATCTTGAATCAGGGAGGAGAATGAGTTGAGGATCGGCGATGTAGCATACCTATGAATGCGAACAGAAACCTCAATCAGTATTTTCGTTACTTTTGACTTGTTGCATCGTAGGCCAACCCATCGGTTAAATGGCTGAGATTTTGCACATGATCTGAAAATACCCACCATCCCACAACGACTTCCTTCGGGCTGACTCGATGGTGCAACTCGAGCAATGTCCTATGATGATCAGAATCAACGGCGACATCCCGACCGGTCGCAGCGTATGGGACACCAAAACTACTACGAACCTACGACAAACCGAGCAAAAAAAAAAAAAACTTAGCCATCTGGCAAAAAACGAACTTGCAGGTTCTTTTGAAAGACTCGAAGGAAATCTTCTGAGATGATCTCTTGCTCCATAGATTTTTTTTTACTTACCTCAACTTCACCGGTCTCAGTATTCCTTACACCGAGTAAGGTGCCAAAGACTCGGTCCTGATGGTCAGGTCTACGGAGATGATGGTCGAGTATGGCAGCCAATGGGAGAGGCTGGACGGCGACATTAGTCACTGAGGTTGGGCCGGAGTGGGGCTTTGGCAATGAGAGCGGTTGGGTGAACGAGTCGGCCATGTTTGAGGTTGCTCTCGATAATTTTTTCTAGTGATCGATGGTCCAGCACAGCTCAGAGGGGGGCGAGTGAGAGGGGGTGGAGGGTTAGGGTTATTCGGGAGACCCCCGTCTACTACCCGAGTCCCGACAGTCGACTCCACGACTCCACGACTCCACCAGCCTGCGGCGCACTTGTACATGATATGAAGTTGCCAATGAAGCGGTATTCCCACTCAAGACTCAAGGTTGCAAGCAAAGGGTCATCTTCAAAAGCAGAAAGGACTAAACGTAGTTTATTTAAGTTTATTTCCCTTGGATTGAAACATTGAACCAATCAGTGAATTCAAATGCATTCAGATCAATTAGAGATCACACAGACATGGGTCAAGAATCATCAATTTCTATATGACGTGTCGTGCGTTCTCAGAAGGATATAAAACGTAATCTCTATGACAAATGGATGAAAAAGACATCTTTAGGAAGATGGTGGATGAATAACAATCTTGTGATCATCTGTACTGGATTCAAGTACCGATGTTTTTTGTTTTTTTTGGATGCACACAAAGGTATTCTAACTTTAAATCACATCAAGCTCCAGTTGCACGCTAAAACAAAAGTAAGGATGTATAGACGGGGTGGGGGGGGTGAATTAAGCGACACCTTTGGCATTCGCTTTGGAGACAAGTTTGGCCTTTTCGATTTGAGCGGCCGAGTTCTTGGCAAGCATCGCCTTGTAAGATTTGATATCGATATCCTGAAAATTTTTCAATAAGAAAGTGCGAAAGAAAACATTAGAAATTTTGCTATGTCAAGGAAAAAACGTGATGCAAAAAAGTTAAGATAGTGGAAACACGAAACTTGTTTGGTGAGGTTGACAATCTTCTTGTTTTTGACCTCCCACAGCTCTTCAGCAACTTGTGAGATCAGTCGGAAATCGTGAGAGACCACAACAACTCCCCCTCCGAATTCTTTGATGGCCAGTGCCAGCGCATCGATGGATTCCATATCCAAGTGCTATATTGGAATTTGTTTCAGCGACAAATTAGAAAAAATCATGCATCTCCATGGGTCGATGGGAGGTTTGCTTACATTGGTGGGTTCATCGAGAAGGAGGATGTGAGGTGTTTCCATGGCAAGTTGTGAGAATACAACTCGATTTCTCAAACCATCCGATAATTGCCGAATCGGGCACGTCTGGTGAGCACCTGAAAGACCGAACCGTCCAAGCTGCTGTCGATAGAACTGGATATCTTTGTCGGGGAACTTGAATCGTCAAAAAATGGACGTCAGTGAAGAGCAAAAAGGTATTAGCTCTGGAGAGATAGAAGAACCTCGTACCTTTTCGTGATATTTGCTCTCAAAGTATTCGATAGCACATTTGTCATAGGGCAACTGGTCTGCGGAATGCTGACTGTATCGCGCAAGTTTTAAGCCTGCGTGCTTACTTACTGTCCCCTCGCAGGACATCAATTTTCCTTCGATCAAGTTCAAAAGCGTCGATTTACCGGTACCATTTTGACCAACGATGGCAATTCGAGAATCCATGCTGTAAACAAGACAGGAAATGTGCAAACATGAGATGATGGCGGTGGATCCAAGAATCCGTAGCTTGAGGAAAAAATAACTGACTCAATACCGAAAGAAAGATCCTTGTAGAGATAATCTTCCTTCTTGCCGCTATATGAGAATGCAACATCGCTGAAAGCAATGATCGGAGGCGGGAGCTTCCGCACATCCTCAAAGTTGAATCGTAATTGCTTCTTTCCAAGAACAGGTTGGATCAGTCCAGCAGCTTCCATCTTATCGATAATTTTCTGCTTGGATTTAGCTTGCTTGACCAAGTTAGCGTAAGTACCCGCACTGGCAATGAACTTCTTGATGTGGGCAATTTCATCCTGCTGTTTGGCGTATGCTTTCATTTGATTGACTTCGTTCTCAGTCTTAGTTCGAACATAAGTGGAGTAGTTACCACCGTAGTAGACGAGCTTTTTCTGGTGAGTAAGATCCATGACTATTTACTCAAAAAGAGTGAGCGTCAGTAATGGCTCCGAGATAGAGTATGCAATCTGCTCGTAATAACTCACTATTTGTGCAGACGGTATCCATGAAATCAGCTGAATGCGACGTAATGACTAGGATACGATTGTATGTGCTGAGGTAAGCTTCGAGCCATACAACAGCCTCAAGGTCGAGATGATTTGTGGGTTCATCTAGCAAGAGCAAATGAGGCTTGATGAACAAAGCTCGAGCCAAGGCCACTCTCATTCTCCAACCACCAGACATGTCCGCCGTAGGTTTCTTCATCATTGCCTGGTCGAATCCCAGACCGTGAAGAATGGCTCCCGCTTTAGCCTCGAAAGTTGAAGGGTCCAATTCCTCCAGTTCTTCGTACTTCAACTCGAGAGCCATTTGATCGACATCATCAGCCACGGATAGATCTTCAATTTCCCGTTCTAAACGTGCGACTTTCTCTTTGGCAGAATTGACAATGAACTCGGTGGCAGTCACTTGTGCGGGTTCTGCTTCTCCTTGAACCAGATAGATCTAAGAAATGTTGGCATTAGAAAGTCGAACTTGCACAATGAATGAGCAACTTAATCATGAGCTTACATCAATATGCGCAGGGATATCGACATCTCGGTCGGCCAACGATTCCAAGAATGTGGTCTTACCACATCCATTCTCTCCCAGTAGACCATACCTTAACGAAGAAAAAGAATAACATAATTTGTTATGAAGCACAAAATAGAATTGAAGAGTTCAAAAAAAAAATGCTTGCACTGCGCAGCGTACCTTTGTCCATAGTTGAGTGAGATCTCAGCGTTTTCGATCAACAATCGACCGTGGTAATTGAGAGTATAACTAGAAATCTGAATATCTCGACTCTGAACATCAGAGGTTAAGACACCACTACCAGATCGATCGGTTGCAGCCTTGAGCTTGGCCATCGAAGTGGTCATCTCGTCAGTAGACGTGGCAGTGGAACGAGCGGTGCCAGGAGTCCCGAGAGTCGATGGAGCCGTCGAGCTGGTAGCTGATGACTCGCCTTTCGAAGCATTTTTGGCAGCCTGTGAAAGAAATGAGTTGTTCGGGGAACCAGTCGGGTCAGGGCGGAGACATTCATCAATTGTTGTTAGTGCTTAGGTGTCCATGACCACGAAGATGCGGGAAAGGGGGACGATGTGCAATGGGCACACGCACCTTCTCTGCAAGACGCTTCTGTTTGGAGGCTGATGGTGGCATATCTAGAACGAATCGTCAATCGATCAAAAGATGATCGAAATTGTGGTGAGGATATGGTTTTCAGTTGAAGTGGGTGAGGTGGGGAGGGGCCAAGCGGTCCGGAGATGGCGGAGGAGGACTCAAGGTCGACCAAAAAAACCGAACCCCCGGAGGGGCCCTCGGGGCACCGGGGGCACCCACTGCCATTTGATAACTGCGGAAACCCGCTGCGGCCTCCGGCCAGGGAGTGCTCCGCTCGAAAAAGGGGTGTTGAGCGGCCTGAGACGATCCCGGGCAGCCCCCGATTCACCTGTTACGGGAGCCTCCTTCGCGGGGGATTGTCGGGAGTGCAAACTGGCGGAGAGCAGCAAAGGAGAGACACTCACCTCCATCCGGAGATGCCACCACTATCGAAATCAAGCCATCTAACGCCTTCCAAACAGACACGAAAGACCAGCTCAAAATACAGTCAGGGGTCCCCATCCAACGAAACACACGAACCAGATGCAATCGATCCGGTTAGGCGCGAATTGGTCATTGTGGTCGAAACGTTTGTGAAATTTCGGCATGAATGGGACGAGTTGGTCTTGAATCGAAGCTTGAACTTGATACTCAAAATCATGGATCTAGAAGCTGAAATCAGGTCAGCATTGAAAATTTCTTAACAAGATCAATAGATAGTTTGGGACACTGATCTCGTTTTTAAAACAACCAGATCGACCATTCAGAATTCGTGTTTCTTGCAAAAGTGTGCTGAGGACAAGGTGGTACTGGAAGATGGATATGCCTGGAAGCAATTTTGTAAAATGAATGAACATTGCAGACAACTGGAAATTCTGCTGGGCGATCTGGTGCGTCAGACACTATTCAGGTGACCAATTGATCATTTGCAAGCATCTCATCGTACCTCCTCCCGGCCTTGCAAAATTTAGACGAAATTGGGGTTCAAAATCCAGCAGTTGAATGATCATTTCGAGGCGCTTATTCCAAAGAGTTGTGGTACCCATGGTATCAAAATGATCTTTGAAAGTCCGCTTGGATTAACCTGGCCCTTGCCTCAAATTTGTAAAGTCGTCTTCACACATTTAGATAAAATTTGAATCATTTTTAGTTGACCCGTCATGACATCTACAGGCGACCACTTCATCAATCTATCAAGCCAGTATATCCATTCCCTACAATTTCACCATTCTCTTTATGATGTGATCGTCTCCCAGGATACCTCAACATCTGAGAAACAGGCTGCAGTAAGCTATTGGGCTTGTCAACCACTGATGTATGATAAAAGTGAACTGAACGACTTCTTGGAGGTGGAATTTCCGAATTTCTTCAATGGGCCCAACTTGACACCCAAAAAACCGATGCAGAATAAGCATTAATTAATAAACACCTTACACTGAAAATAATGTTGCACTCTGGGCACTTATTTTTTCAACATCCGGCGCCCCAGGTTCTGACATGCATGACATCATAGTCCCTCTGGCCGTATATCATTTCCTGCTGCAAAGTCTCAAACTTTGAAGACTTCGCTGACGGACTTGCATCTACAGTTGTGATGCGTAATGTGCACTCATACAATTTTGTTTCGGCTAGGCACCGCTTGTTGATGAGGTGTGACTTGAAGAAGCTATACATTTAACGGGGTCGTACAAACGTGATGTTTCAGTCCGTCTCATTGAAACCCTTTGATTTTCGAATGCCCAGCGTAACAAGCAGCAAACATGAGCGCCGCAGTGGACATGGGCAACATTATTAGTGTCTCAGATGTCTAAAGATCCATGCCGGCCGGCAGATTGTGGCTGTGTAAATGTCCTTGACTTCAATAAACAGCTACAGATTAAACATCTCATTTTCAGTTTTCGGAACGGGCAGACTAGGCAGACTGCCCTAAACCAACCAATTCTCTGGCGCCCTCCAATAATACAAGACCAAGCAAAACCTCAAAGCAATGTATTGACAACCAAGTTGTCCATCATTCATCCTCATGTCCAGGAACTTGAACCCCTGCTGGTTCACTCACCAGCTCCTCCTGTTATGGATTTTGCTGGTGCTCGGCAGTCAGCTAATACATCCAGCCAGCATGACAACGCTCTCCGAATCCACTTGTTGCAATCAGGATCAAGGGTTCTCCAGGTCGGGGTTTTCTGCGGTAGGCAGCACTCAGGAAAAAACATTACTCTCTGGCTGCAAACGTGAGTCAAATTTCAAACAGGGAAACGCTAGCATACCCCATGAAGAAGCAAGTAAAGGAGAGCCATTCCCCCAGACCTCATCTACTACAGATCAAACAATTTCCAACCAATTTCGAGAGTCATGGTCACCCGTTGAGTCATCAAACTCTCAAGTCGGAGTGGATGTCGTCAAAGATGGCCCCAGTAATAGTATTCGACATTCCAAACAGAAGAATAAGATGATGATTAGCATTCCCCAGAAAGATTATTTCTCAAACATGATCCCACTTGAACAAGTCTTTGGAAAGAAACAGACATTACAAAACGGCGGATTTACAAGTTCTACAAGGAAGCAAAACAAGAAAATTAGGAACTCAGAGCTAACCAAGACCGTCCCAATCGATTCTGCGCTAGGAAATACGGATCAAAGCCTATCTGAAGTGAGCAAGGCTTATGTGGGAGAAGTCTGGGGAAACGAGACGGTGAGCCGATGGGAAAGAAAACAAATCTTATATCTCATGAGTCGGATTGTCAATCACTTAAAGATTAGCGATAAAGAAGCTCATTCGGGTATTGTTTCATCGATCAGTGAGGATGATTACTTGGAATTAAGAAGACATTGGGAGTTATCTCCGACTGGGATCCTCGAAGCAGAGAAAGAAGTGTGCAGGATTTTGAAAAATCCTGAAGGGGCCAGACGGGTCTCATCATTCCGTCGCCTACTTCACCGACATGCCATAGCTTCGAACTGGAAAAACTTAGCTGTCCCTCAACTCCGTAATTTGAGTTTGAGGTCTCATTTAATGTTGGTTGAGAAATATGACTTACAGTGGCGATTCGGAATGGCAGATGATCCAAGGTTCGTTCGAGACACACCTGGATTCTCGATAATAGGCTGGCAGCCTGACTCGAAATTTTTTGTGGGAAGATACGATCTTAGCTGGTGTTTGAATATTGTTTTTGGAGAACATGAGGGAAGAAGACGCCGCGAGCTAAACTCGTATCTTCTGTATCGGAAGTATCGCAAAGAATGGTGGCCTGCTCTTCTTGGAAAGGACAGCGGACGGCTTGGACTGGATGTTTTGGGTGTTTTGAAAGTCGGAGATGCGCTTCAACTTGGCGAAAAGCACTTCAAGCCAGAAGACCCGAGCTTCATGGATCTCGATGCAGCATTTTCCCAAACATTACAAGTCGTGGCAGATACCCAAAGGCCTTTGCCATGGGCTGAATCCTCAGAACGTGCTTGGTTGCTAGCAATCTATGGAGATCACTATCGGGAACGTCTTCAGAAGCTCAGTCACTTGATGTTGGAATCAGAAATGACTAGCCACCCGAAAACCATGGGGGCGATCAAAAATTTAATTGGCCGTCAAGCCAGCATAGCTGAAAACTGTCGAGTAGGATATGAATTATTGTGGTGCGAGATGGGACTAGAGCTGAAGGCATTGCCTAAACTGATTCAAAATAGAACTCAAGAAGATCTCCATACACCTGATGCACATGATTGGATACTCAGTCAGCTAATGGAAGTGGACAAAGACCTTTACAAAAAATGGCTCCTCAGCTTGGACGTCTCCTACAAATTCAAAGCACCATTCCCAACGCTTTCATGGTCCGAAAAAATCTCAAGACTAGCCGAAACTTGCACGCATAAATTCTTCCGAATGATCTGGCTGGCGATGTGGAAAGTAATAAATTATCGCAGTAAGGGAAAGAGGAGTCGATAAGAAAGATGCACCCCATTGGCAACATGTGGATAGACTTATGATATGTATGATTCGATCTGGACACCCGTTTGATTCTTTCTAATTGTTCAATCTCAAAATTTGATCAGATGAATCATTTTCCCTTTTAATTCCTAGAAATGATTGAATTCCAGTCCCCTTTCTTATAAGGTTGTGAGTGATGTAGAGGGCCAGTGTAAATACTTGTCAGGACTAGCACTAAGCATAGTTTGTTTTTTGCACTAAGTGAAGAATATGTGAGCAGACAAAGGATGATTTTTATTTCTGGCTATTGTCACTGTGGGACAGTATTGCCCAGCTAATTGGATTATGTGATTGAAGTGTTCATGATTGAATGCATGTGAATAACTAATCAACTCCAAAATAAAACTTTACTAGATAAAACAAGAGTAAAAACATGGGTAATTATTGATCAATTGATTTGTGTTCCTTTTTTATTTCCCTTCATGTTATATCATTGTAAATGTTGATCCATTGAGGTCTTAGCCGGAGAGAGAAAGTTTCAAAGTCCATTGATCAATGCCTCACTCTGCCCTTGATGAGAGCTGGGCCATTATGCTCCTTTTTAATTCTGTCCACTGCCGATATATAGTTCAAAACAGCATCTGGATTTGGATATAGGCACTCTTTATGACTCATTTGTTGGATGAGAATATGATGTGCATCTAGAACATACACAGGAGAACTCTCAGACAATAAATTATCTTCTGTCAAAGAAAACAAATCATGAAGCATTTTTTTTTCTTTCTTTTCTTTTCAAGATTACAGAAATAGAAAACAAAAAAAACTGTTAAAAGACAAAACAAAAGAAGAGCAGGAATTCTAGAGAGGAGTTTTTTTAAAAAAAAGCGAAGGGTTTATCGTTGGATGGGGCCGTAGATGGGGTTCTTTTTCTCATGGATAGGCACTTGACCACTAGGAGATCCTGGGATTTCTTTTTTAAATTGCTAGAATCAAGTAAGAAATCATTCATTCAGAAGGAGAAGAAGAAGAACACGTGTGAGAAAAGTCAGCATGAAATATTTGGATTGGATATGAGGGACAAAGAAATCAAGGATGTGGAGTCAATTTGATCGCTACTCTTCTCTTACCAATTTTTGAAACAAACAGGCGTTCAAATCTTTTTCCGGTTTTCGACAAAACTCAAAGCCCTATATAACAAGAGGAAGATCGATTCCAGTTTGAGGCACGGGATTTGCGAGATGTCCAGATGCGAGTAAGTGTATATACTGACATGATTATTCCGATCGAGACATTTCCAATGCGACGTAAATTCATCCAAACAAGCCGCTTTAATTTTAGTAATCCTAGAGAAAGGTAAGTAATTCAGTATACCAGTGAATCAAGTGATAAGAAAGCGCTGGGGGGGGTATAGGGTGGAAGAAGGAACAGAGGAAAGACTGACGCCTCTTGAGCACAACGGGTGACCCGACGACCCTCTTTCAAACAATGCTCCGGGTTCTGATCCTCGGCCTTACAAAGCATGAAGTCCTCTAAAAAGTCCGCTCGCCCGCGTCCCACAAGAACAAGTCACCGTCAGTTATACATAAAACCCCCGTCGAGTTTTTTTTTTGGGTGGAAAACGGGATGCGAAGGGATTACCGGAGTAAGGTTTGCAGAACGATCCGATGTAGAAGGAGGCGCTCTTGAGCGGGGCCGAGCTGACTCCTAATTCGGACACCTTCGGCACATCGTTCGGCATCGGCGTGGGATCCACAAATGGTTTTTGGGTGTTTCCATAATCTGTAGATTTTTAACAGTTTGAGTGAAAGTCAAGCCGGTGTTTTAACAGGAGGGACAAGCTCCCAAGGTGAGAAACAAGTATGTATATATATCATACGCGGTGGTCTGTAGGTCGTCATGATGTGATCGAGTTCCTGGTGGGTGGTCTGATGAGGCCAAAGTCGGAGATTAATTATGGAGATCGATCGTTGATGATGGTGTTGGAAGGGTTGCTTACATAGATGGATTGGTTCTTGATCTGAGCCTCCCTGATGGTCCAACGAGTTATGCGATGACGATGGTATGTAGTAGTAGAGAGAGAGAGGGGAAGGGCCGACTATCCAGGTGGTCGAAGGCTTGGCCGTTACTTCTCGGGTGACCGGCCTCCCCGGTCCACTCCTCGACCCAACAGCGACGACCTCTGGACTGTCCACTGTCAAGAACACTGCCATTCCCATCACACCACAACAGCTTCGTGTAGGAATAAACCAGCTGAATGGATGGCGGGATAGAATAGCCCCTGGCGTCTTGAAGGCTATTGAAGAGGACAGACGCGCCATCTGACTTCAAACAAAGTTCAAGAAGGACTCTCTTGCGTGGCCAACCTTAAGAATTTAACCTGCTTGACCAATTTTTTAGAAGGAGAACTCGATCGTCTATCGCGACTCTAGTGAGATCATGGTCAGTTTTCTTAACTGAGTATCACTTTCTTCTTCCATGACTGATAACCATACTGATAACACTGAATTCCTTGTCGCTCTTTTCAGCCGCCTTCGCTTCCACCCACCCTGACCACCGTCACGCTCAAGTTCGATAAAAGTTAGCACACACGAACATCTCTTATTTTCGTTCTTCGTTTGACCCTCCTCTTCACCATAATGATTCAATATGAAAACCAGAAGAAGAAAAAAACACATGCTGAAACTGTAAATGATTAACATAAAAACGATAGCCACGGTCCTCCTACCAGCGACGAAGAAGACAAGGGTCTCGGAGCTCAAGACGGGATTTCTAGACGCCTTGAAGGGGACCAAGACGAGTCCCTCGAACGGGAGCCTGGAGGACTCGACCTGCTTCCAGATCTTTCGGGCGTCGAAAACGGCGGCTAATCTGACCGAGGGTGGGCCGGCTGGGGGCGCCGGAGGTGGTCCGGCTGATTCGTGGGATGCTCTTGCGGACGACCATGCAACGATGTCCGATCTCGCCCTCGAAGAGGCCGAGACTCTCGGGGTCGGCTTCAAAAATTCAAAAGGTCCCTCTCTCTCTCATCCCATCTCTTCTCTTGATCATCCTACTTAAAAAACATTTTACTCTTTCTTTTTCTCCGGGGATCTGCCCTTAGGCTCTTACGATAAGCCGCTGATAGAAATTTGGAGAGAACAAGAAACTCGACAATAATCGGTCTACACAGTCGAGATAAGCAAGACATGGATTATTGTTTAGACCTCTTCACGAATCCCTCAGTGAAGGTCCTGGACCCATATTGCGGGCCTCTTTTTTTGTGTATCTATGTAAACCCTGCCTGATTTGGCCATGTATGTCACCACTAACTCAACCAACAATCTCTTGGAATATGCGTTATTCTTGATAGAAAATAAATACCAGAGATGAAGAAGTTGATTGGTCACAACACCAGCTCCATGATGATCATGATCGATCAAATGCCAACTTGAGTTCCTTGGAGTAGTGGTCACACTGATCCTGGAACTTGTGTTGTTTGGTTTGAGACATTTTAGGCTCTTAATTAAGTTCCAAGGAGCAGCTGATATCAAGTGGGAATACTGTACCTAACAAATTAATGCCAATGGATAGATGTATGGGTAATTCAGATTGATATCAGTTGTCCATCAACCATTTGGTGTTGATGCTGATCTTGTACTTGACAGTTCTGAGGTAAAGAAAGTTGGACTGAAGCTATTTGTAGTTGGAACCACCAACACAACAATAATCCCTTAAACAAGCAGTTCACCTAGGACTTTGAAAATTGAATACAGAGATGTTAAATTCTCTTGCATCTTTTACTTCACTCAAATTCTTTGATACAGCCATTGTAATTCAACTCTACTGAAATCTCTTTTCAGTCACATACGATTGGTTTATCATTTCTCAAGCAATAAAAAATTGTTCTTTCAAATGCTCTCCAAGAAGAGAGAAACACCTAAGGTGAATTCCATCAAGATTTTTTTTTTTTTTTTTTGAAAAAACCCAAAGATTCTTTTTCTTTCTCAATATTTCAAACAACGATATCTATGAACATATATACAAGTATGTATGGATGTTTTCTTTTGAGAAAGAAAAAGTGGTGGGGAGGTAGGGGGGGGGGGGATGAAAAAAAAAAAAAAATCGAGAAAGAGAAAGAAAAAAAAAGACGAGGATAAAGAAGTGGACGACGACAACAAGACCAAATACAACAAAAAAAAAAAAACGAAAAGAAGGGGGATCAAGGAGGATGATCAAGAAAGGGGATCAAAGATGGTTGAAGTGTGACTGAGGATTAGGGGGATGATGATGGACGAAGTTATTGTAAGAAGAAGTCGGAATCTGGGCAAGGTTTTCAGGAGAATCCAAGGCAACATTGAGTGGTGCTTTCTCGGAGGTAGTAGAAAGAACGATGAGGTCTTCTTCTTGCTCTGGTATGGGCTCAACAAGAGGGACATCTTGTGTAGGAATAGGCTCGTCGAACCCATTATGATTGGACTCAATCAGGGTGGCTTTCTGGGAGGTAGAGGGGACCATGAGGTCTTCTTTTTGCTCAGAAATAGGGCCAGCAAGTGGGACATTTTGTGGAGGAATAGGCTCGATGAATGCATTATGATCGAACTCATTCAGGGCGGCGTTCTGAGGGGTGGAGGGAACAATGAAGTCTTCTTGCTCCAAACGGGGGCCAACGAGAGGGATATCGTGCAGAGGAACGATAGGCTCGACGAACTTGTTGGGTGAAGGGTGGGCGGAGCGTTTGGAAGGAGATGAAGCGGGAGAAGAGCGGGAGCTAGAAGCGTGCTGAAGACGCTCGAATTTCTTGGCGGCCATCAGCACGTTATCTTGGCCAATCTTGCCGGAGATCTCACGTTTTCTGACCAACGCTTTAGGCTTCGAGTTAGAGGAAACTTTTTTAGAATGACTGCTGGGAGCAGAGCGGTGGGGGGTAGTGGGGGTGGAGGTGGGAGGAAAGCGAGAGGCAAGTCGGCCGGTCGAGCGGTTTAGAGAGGGCAGACAATCTGTTGATGTCAGTGATCGAACACTATCGAGAGCTTGTTCTCGGATGTGTTGGTGTTGAGGTGTGGATGGATTCGGGGGACTGGAAGACTCGTGATGGTGGACAGCTTTGAGAGACTTGGACAGCGGAAGAGGCTCATCAGGATCGTGCAGTCGTCGTTTAACCGAAGGAGCTGGAGCTTTACTAGGCGAGATGGTAGGGTCCGGCTCTGGGAGCGCAGCATTGGCAGGTAACTCCCAGGCCAAGTTACCATCAAGGTTCTCACAGGAATCTTTGGGGGCTGGTGGGCTTGGAAACGAGGAAAATTGGTTGGATATGAAATTGGATGAATTGACGGCTTTGAATGACTTGGACAGCGGAAGAGGGTCATCAGGATTGTGTAGTCGGCTTTTAACCGTGGGAGCTGGAGCTTTACTTGGCGAGAGATTAGGGTCCGGTTCTGGAAGCGCTGCATTGATGGGTAACTCCAGCGTCAGGTTACCACCATCAAGATTCTTGGGGGCTAGCTGTGGGCTTGTAACCGAGGAAGATTTGTTGAAGACGAGGTTGGATGAATTGACTGTTTTGAATGACTTGGACAGCGGAAGAGGTTCATCGGGATTGTGAAGTCGTCGTTTGACCGTAGGAGCTGGAGCTTTACTAGGCGAGAGGGTGGGGTCCGGTTCAGGGAGCGCAGCATTGGCAGGCAACTCCCAGGTCATGTTACTATCAAGATTCTCACAAGAACCTTTGGGGGCTGGTAGGCTTGGAAACGAGGGAGATTCGTTGGACGTGAGCTTGGACGATTTGACATTTTGTTGGGCCATCTGAGTGGGGGGAGCTGGTGTGAGGTTGGACACTCGTGCGGAGGCTTTCTTGGTTTTTGAAGTGCTCGTTTTGTCGGATCGTTTGGTGGATGAAGCCCGAACAGCTTTCTTGGCTTTACGAAGCGCGAATGCGTCGAGCTCGTCGTTTGTGTTGCGGCCTCGCTTTTGACGGATCACTTGAGCCGGAGGGCCATAGATCGGATCTACGGGGATTGGGCTGGGTTCGTGAGCGGAGATGAGACTGTCATCGTGGATGATGATCGAATTGATCTCCTCCTCTGGGTCGTGTACCTGATTGGGGTCTTGATGATGAGGTGATTGGAGATGGGATGATTGCCTGTTGGCTTTGGAGGAGAGCCTCAAGGGTTGATTTTCGATCGAGGTGCCAAAAGCAAAGCTGCCCAGAGTGGGACCCTGTGCGGATCTAAATGGGTATACAGTGCGATTGGTGGAAACCGATCTGGTGCTGAATAATCCAGGGTCGCCTAAGAAAGGCTTGGGTCTGCTGTTCGATACAGCCCGCTTGTATCCAGCAGAAAGCTTCCGGCTCAGGGTCGGTTTCCTCTCCGGTACGAGTAGGTATGTCGAGTTGGCAGACGTGGATGAAACCGCGTTGGGTACAGCGCGGTCGGATGTGAGTGTCTGCTGAGATATTGTACGTTGAAAATGAGACTGGTATGGATTCAAAACGGGTAATCGGCTCGGAGGGACTGCTGTGTTGTTGGCTGAAAGTAATGATTTGTTGAACTGACGGGCCTGTTTGAATCGAAAATCAAGATAATTTCTTAGCCTGATGTGAAAAGATTGGGTGTTGATGATCTGATCGTACCTTCCAGCGCTCCCATTTCAGATGGAGAGATTTGGGACCACGAGTGATGAGGTACATGATGACTTGTAGGGCGTCGTGGGTTGTGCCGAGCACGGAATCGAAGGATTGTTCGTAAGGAGTGGCCATTCGTTGGATGGTATATCTGAATACGGTGTCTGCAGCCTGCGAAAGGAAGTGAATGGGATGTCGGTTTCTGAGAGCTTTACGATTTGGTTTTCTTTTGGTCTGAACATACCGAAGGACCCATGATGATTAACCAGATCAAGAAGGCCAGGTTGAATTCATCGTACCAAGGGATCGCCCAAGCTATCCAATCTAGAAATCGTTTTGCGTAAGTCCAAACGACCTGTGTTGGGGTGAAGATAGCAGGGGGTGAATATATTGGTATGATGATCGAGATTAAGGAATCGGCTTACCCAGACCAGACAGACTTTTGTCATCTCCTTTATCCTCGTCCTTCGTGTCTTTTGAGCTGAGCTGAGAGGGTCGGATGATGGTGCTGTCTGGAGTGGAACTGGGTTGCTGTTGGCTGCTCGGTTGAGGACTGGGCGAGGGATCTTCCGACGGGTCTTGGGTACCTTGAGTGCCTTGAATGCGTTCCATAGTGTGAGTAGGTAGAAGAGCAGCTTGGCGAATGCGATCGGGATGATGAATCCCATGCTGAAGTGAGGTGGTTGATATCTGATGATTTGGATGGTGTTGGTTGACTGAAGGAGTGTGAGTAGCCCATCCCCTTTGAGCTGACTCTCCTTCTCATCCAAACAATCACCATCTTCCAATTAAAAATATTCATACCCTATCAACATCCTATGTGTAACTCAAAAACCCAAATAAATATATCATTGGCCCTTGCAAAAATCTATAAACAATCCCATCAAATCAATCAAAACAACATCATCAATGACTTCTCAAATCATAGTGGCTGATTGGGTGGGAAGATCAATGTGGACACTTCTCCTGCCAGTGGCAGGACTCAGGAGGGACTTGTAAGTTTGAAGTGATTCTACTGTTCAAAGGATCTGCTCCACAAAGATTACAATTTGACCTGAGTTCCTTTCTCAATCAGCTCCAACCAGCTCCATTGCCTAACTCAATCAAAATATTCTGATGACCAGAATGAATGTGAGAGTATTGGAATATACACTGGACTGAGAGATATATTCCACTGTAAACCTTTCAATTTGTCATTTTGTTTTAATACACTGATCATTTTCTAGATTGCCTCCCAAATATAGTTTCTTGCCTTACCATTATTTTTATCCAAAGTTTGAGGCTCCTCATACAAATGTCTGCTGATAACAAATCATCAATTCATTGATCACATGAATGCTGGATTATATAAAGACAGCTGACATCATAAGGATTCAGGGGAGTGGGGTGTATGAATGTTGAGCATTCTCATATCATTAGGTTCACAAAATTTCAGTGTGGGGGGTACATTCAATCTAAATATTCTGTTAGTGGATGTATGCAACATATGGAATTAGATCTTTTGACAAATTGGGATAGCAGAGCACGACAACTAGGACAAAAAAAAAACTGTAACACCCAATTGATAGATGATGTAGGTGACTGTGAGTGAGTAAATAATGATTGGATGAATTTTATTGTCAAGAAACAACAGAGAGAATAAAAGATCAAGAGATCTAAAAGAAGTGGTTATGGAAGAATGCAAGAAACAATTTGTAATTACCCCCATAGGTGAAGGAGGGAGTTGGGATGATGGTAAGATAGCACACATGTAAGAACTAAGAAAAAATAAAAAGCAATCAACTTTTTGAACCTTAAATTACCAACGGCAAGGTTAGACCATTCCTGTGTTATAATCTCTCCCCAGGATGCCCTGCCACTTGGTTTGAGTGAATTATATTGGTGATGCTGCATATAAAAAGACCTAAACCAAGTTGAAAGAGCTTTCTGCTCATATCTTGAAAGGCCTTTTGCTAACTGAACAAAGTTGGTTTGGGTTGCTCCGTTAGCAGCATTGGGCTCAGTCCATCTATGGAGTTCATCGATTTCGAATCCGAGGTCATACCAGATCAATTCATAGGCCCCAAAGGGTCTTATGTTTCTTTTCACGCAACCTTCAAAATATAACTGACTGAGCACCCGCAGTCGATCCTGGTATAAGCCTCCAGAGGCCTTGTGAAGCCAGGCCCGCTCAGGAGATTCCATCCAAGGTAGATGGGTATCATCGCGATGCATCACATTGATAATCACCCGGAAGGCCATGTCAATCGCGACGGTAGCTTTGGCTCCTCTTAGGAAATAATTGGAACCGAATTGAAGTGAATCTCCCACTTTTAAAATCGAGAAAAGGTCGAGCCCATATTTTTTGCTGTCTTCTTCTAGGCCGAGTGATTCCCACCAACGGGGACGATAGAGTCGATTTTGAAGGTAGTTATTCAATTCCAGCTTTCTTTTTCCTTCAAATTGACCATATACGCACGCCATGGTCTCGGCGATGAACTTTGTGGAATGTGCGAAGGGGCCTTTCATGTTGAGAAATCCTGGTTCACTTGGGAGATTGATAGTCGATACCGAATCTGTTGAAAGCCCGAGCCTTTTCTCGAAACATGCCGCGTCAGATTCTTTCATGATATTCTCATTCATCAGTTTTTTCTTGACAAATATCCAATTTCGTGTGCTAGTCTCGTCTTGTAAGCAACGGAAAAATGCAATAAATCGTCTGTTACTCTCCGCTTTGCCGAGCACTTTCGTAAAGGACGATTCGACTTGATGAAACTTGAACTTGGAATTGAGGAAATTGGCTCTGAATCTCTCATACAATTCAATCAGCTGGGAGGATGGCGAAATCCCAAAATGAGGGGTCTTATTATCTAAGTTCAATTCTAGAGCCAATCGAGCCATCAAGCTTATGTCCAGATTCTGTTCATTCCACTCCAAAACCGTCTGCTCTCCCCATAATTCGCAGAAAGCTTTGACTGTTGATTTTGAAAACTGGTTCAAGCGTAGTGGCTTGATTGCTTGTACAGCATCATGTTTTATTTTATGGTTCAATGCATCGAAGACCAATGCAAGTTTCTTAGGTAAGATACGCTCGTCAATTTTTAAGGGTACCATCAAGGATGTTGGTGATTTAGTTCGAGGATTTTCTGATTTCAAAGACAATTTGTATTCTTCAAATGATTCCTCAAGAGATTTTTCATCCAACACATAATTCTTTTTGAAATAGAGTGGGCGACGAGGAGCCGGCTTGTTTGGTTCGATGTGATTCTTTCTATACTCAATTAGGCGGAGGATATTCTCTTCCTCTGTCTGATCGCCCTTCTTTTTGGCAAGATTGCGGGGGCGGGAAGAAGACGCAGCAAGATGGAGTAAAGCTTTGGCAGTTTGGTCTTGATTTGAGGCGCTTTCTGTGTGAATTTCTTTATTGGAGCCAGGAAGTGCTTCGCTCCCATCATGATTGATAATTTTAGTCTCGAGACCACCAGCCATCTCTTGGTCTTGGAGGGTTTTCTTTGAATTTTCACCTGTTCCTTGCATGCTAGGGTCAACCGTGTCTTTTGATAGTAGTGTTACCCCCTGCTTACTCGCATTCACGCTAGAAGTGCCACCCTTCAGACTTCCTGCTTCAAGTTTCGTGCTCTCATCGGCCGAGGGGGCCTCCACTGTGATATTTTCTTCGATTGGGACATTCGGATTTCGCGCCGTATCTTGTGGAAAATGTCCTTCCACAGGAAATTCAACCTTTCCCGGGCGTCTTTTCATCTTCTCGAATCTATCAAATCGTGTAAGGGAGGCCTCCCACTTTTTTTTCTTTTCGCGTTTCAATCGGATGTCTTCCGGAATTGAATCTTCCTCCAATACCGGAGATTTAGCCTTCCCACGTTTCGTCTCAGATTTTTTATCTGTGTTGTTATCTTGCAGGCTTCCCCTCTTTGTCTCTGACTCTTCGTGGAATTTTTGAATAAATCTTTTAATATCGGTCTCCCCGTTTTCAGCTAGGAGGGGGAGTTCAGTCATCGTGTTTTTTCGAATTGATCCATCTTCATACTTAAGTTCTAGTCCTTTCTTGAACAATTGCTCGTCAATTTCTTGGTTGGGTTTGTGGATATTTCCTTTTTCACTTCTGGTGTTGGCGGCCAGAAAGTTTGCAAGTGTTGGCTTAACGTGACTCCGGCCTACTTGAGGCGGCGATACTGATGAAGTTTGAGGTTTTTCGGGAAGCAAAGTGTTCCAACCTTGCCCGTTTTTTGGGCCATAGTTTTTTCCTGGATTTCGAAGAATCGGAGGATTTCCCGATGAAAAGTCGGTATCCTGATTACCTGTTTCCTGCGAGGAAGATGAATATCCGCCATCGCTCGAGGTAGTTTTAGGTGGCTCTTTACTGGCGCGACCATATTCTATTGAATTGGCGGTTTTGACATGTTCTTGGTTGAGCTGTGAGTTTTACAATCAAATTTGTAGGTTTAATTTTGCCCAGTCAGTTGTCCAGTACAACAAGAAATCCTTAATCGTTTCAAAGGTTTTAATTCATAAGCAATCAAGCTCACCATCGGAACTTTATTATATGAAGCAGCTTTGGAAGCTTTTGCCTTTCCATTTTTCCGATAACCATTCTGTTTCCAATTGAAGACGTATATTGGTTGAATGATATATTGTCAGTTGCCGGTGGTGAATAGCTACTTGGAATAATAATTGAAGCCTTTGGAGTGGTACATACAGACGGGAATCTACCATTTTTACGGATTGATGTCCCTGAATTGGGATTCTGGAATCCCGAGTAATTCCTGTTCCTGCCATAGTTTCTTCCCGCGGCGTTTTGATTCCATCTTTGAATCGCCAAATGTTCAGTATTTCCCATCCTGGCATTGAGATTGTCATACGAAATTCCAGGACTGGCTGGCCAACTGTTATCAAATGAGTGGAATCCAGAATGTTCCCAGTTGCGATGATGGTAAAGCTCAATATTTCCAGGATTTTGATGCTCTTCGTAATCCAAAAATCCAGGGTATTCGACACCAACATTCGCATAGTTGTAATAATAATCTGTATTGCCAGGATTGAGCTGCATTTCATTTCTAGCATCCTCATAACCTGGTATAAAACCTGGATGACCATGCGGGTCAGGCACAAAACTCGGTTGACTATCGTATGACCAGTGGTGCATGAAATGTGGTGCAAGTCCCTCGTTGAATGCCGAAGGATGGACCAAGGGCTGAAAATCTGGAGGAGATTGCGATCCTCGATGGTTTTTAGCCTTCTCAACTGCCATCTTGTTGGTCTGACTCGCTTGATCTGAATGAATACGCTGAAAACCTGGAGGCGAATGCGACCCTATATAACTTGCAGCGCCCGTGTCCGTGAGCCCAGAAACTGCAAGCCTGTCGGTTTGGCTCGCGAGGTAAGGATGATCTGAATGCATGTTGTTTTTCCAAATTGATGGGGGTATTTCAGGATCATGATCAACTGAAGCAAACCAATCCAAATAACTGTTAGCTTGAAGCCTTTGTGCATCGGGAGATGAAGAAGCATTGCGTTGGGGTTCAACTGACGCGCTGTGTTTGGGAATAGCCCGTAGCCATTTTGATTTACAGGGGTCTGGTGTGTAGCTTTCTAACCCTCAGCGCTTCCGATTTGGTTTAGCAATTTGACATGGCAACTCCCAACTTACGTGTCTGTTAATTTTTTGCGTCGTACTCGTAGCTGGGAAAGCAGCACCGTATTGCGACCCGTGCGGAGTTTTCCACTGCTCATGCAAATCAAGAGCGTCGTGACTATAATAGGGCATATCAGATAGTCTGTTTTCTAAAAAGCCATCTTGCGGCATCAGGTGATTGGAACCGATGTTAGGCGTTTCTCCTCTATATGCCAGATGTTGGTAAGAACTCAAGGGAGCTGCATGTTGATTATCCACCACACCATCGTCCTGGGTTGACCACGGGTTTAAGTCCACGTCCACGGATTCCAGGACGCTTTTGACGGTATATGGGTTACACTCGGTATCATCGTTGCTGATGTGAGAGGGGCCGGCGTCGTGGGTACTGGCTACATTTCCAAGATCCCTAAGAGGAAGGTCTGAGGAAGGCAGAAACGCTAGAATCTGATAATTTGAGACAGCGAACAGCATACATATCCATGATGGCAGTAAGCGAAACGTGGCGGGATGCATTTTCTTGAGCATTGAGTGAAGGAGGGAATGGTGTTAGCAACATCAAATCAAGTTCCCGACTGCCGGCCTTAGTATCTCAGTTATCCTTATCACAGGTTCTAGTCCTCCATTGAGTCTACGTATGTACCTCGCTAACCTGTGCCCAGCATTCCAGCATTTGGCAAAACACTTCTCTAATTCCTGTATGTATCTGTCACCGGTTTGGGTGGGTTGTTAAGATACGCCGCGCCAGCCGTGATTCAGCACGAGGGTATTCTATCAAGGATAGGCCAAATCGACGACCCACGTGCTTCCCGAACAAATCTAAATTGTCTTCAAGCAAATCATTGGTCACAAAACAAGTCTCATGTCAACAAATTCCAAGACACGTTTGGAATGAGAAACGGGATACAAAAATGTTCCATGGCTTGGAGAGGCTCGAGAATAGCCTTTACACGGACCAGTCCTTACACGCCAAGAACAATTCACATAGGCAACGAGTACCCGGTGGGTGTGGGTTGTGCAGCAGCAGAAGGTTGGAGAAATGGCGAAGAGAAGTATTATATAATGGTATCATCCATACTCCACTGCACGGCGCTTGCTCTTTTGGTATGTAACACTTGCACAACTTAACCTGTTCATCATCACACTTCATACTTGGCTATTGTTAGGGCGTCGAGCTTGATATTTCAACAAGCTTTATCATCTCTCAAATATATCGGCTAAGGCATAGCTCGTCACCTTTCCGTAAGTCCATTTGTACACATAGCCTGTCGCATCTCCATAAGACCTTATGATTTGAAGAAAGAACCTCTTGGGATTGAACATTTGACCATCTGCAACAAGAAGGAGGCCCCGGCAACCGCTACTAACACTTTCTGTGTTCACCCTCTGCCAAACAATAAACATCCAATCGAATTCAAGATAAAATCTAGACAAAAAAGTAGTACAAGGGGATAGGTGACGAGAGGTAAAACGAACAGGAGTTCGTGATGCTTTTTTATCCTTCAGAAGTGTGTAGGCAGATTCATAGCCGAAAAAACTTGGTATAGTTATATATACAATTACACCCACTTCACGTGTTAGAGATTCGATGTTGGGGCTTCTTGAGTTGTGTAAATTGAGCTGAGGAGGATTTGTATTTCGGATGCCGTTTTACCTTCTCCCAACCATTTTTCGGCCAAAAGACTCCGATTCTTACTTTGGGTTTCTCTCCACTGGAGTTCGATTTTCTTGAACTGTAATTCCTGAGCGAATTTCTCCTTTTCCCATTCCAATCGTTTCTCTAAATGACGAAATCTTAATGTTGAATTGCGATCGAAGGCAGCTTCGAGGGTGATATTTTTCCTGCTTCGACATCTCCCAGCACTCACTTTGAACTTTCGACATCGAGGTTTAGGATTCATTTGTTGTTCTACCTCTTGATGTCTGTCCACATGATCTTCTTGGTCCATCATTAAGCTGATCGTGTTATTGACTCGTTGTTGTTGGGGAGGCTGGTCGCCAAGACTAGTGTGATTGACAGTTCCACAATGGTGTCGGCCAAATGGATTTTGATGTTCCTGAGGCGCGCCACTTTCCGCAGTTGGATGGAAACTCTGTCCCTTGGAGGCAGCGTGTGGCTCGTTTGGATTTTGGGGATGGTTGGACAGCGGATCGGATGCGTTATTCGGAGTGCGGAGCTCCCTCCCAAGATTTTTGGCTGATTCAAGGATTCTCTCCAGTCGCTGAAAGCAAGGGCACATTTCATTCATTCGTTGGGTGACGTCTGGTATTCGTAAAATGTTGGCCATATCAGGGTTCTGAGTAATCAAATGCTGAAGCTCCTTTGCCTTTGAGTACTTGTGCTTATAAGTCGATAAACGCTGTTGTAACTGTCGTCCGGTGAGGTGCAGTCTGGGGTTGCGCTGGTTGATAAAGGTTGCAAAGAGGTCGAATGCGGCCGCCTTTGTCATAGGTCGTCCTGCTTGGCTTTTGCCCCCATCGCCAAACAACATATCGTAATTGTCCCCCGTCTCGAGATAAGTACAAACCAACTCATAATCGGAGGGCGATAAGAATGGATTCGAGCTGCCCGGGATAGATGAATTTTTGCGCGAGATGTGGTTCAACCCTTCAACTTCAACCTGCTCCTGCTTCTTCAGCTGCCCGAGTCGAAAAACACGCATCTGTTCCTGAGTACGACGAACCCGTTTCTTTACAGGACCGGTACTGTGCTCAAGCGAACAGCTGGAGCTGGTAGAAGCTGTACAACTCGAAGCCTTGCGTTGCAGAGCAGGGTCAACTTGCCGCGAGTTCGAGGTTGATGGACACGGATCCATGATGACGATAACGGTAGCGGGTAGTCTAGATCAAAACCCGAAAAACTGATTAGCAAATTCCAAGTTTTGGGGTTTAGGTTTCCTGCTCTAGCCGCTGTCGAGACTTCTCACGTAGTTTTCCAATCAAACGCAATGCAATGGCCTTGTGATCTGTCTGAATCTGCAAACCGGTGAAACACTGACTAGACATGACCATCACACACATAGAACATTTTCATTAGTGATTCGCAGCACACGATTTGACGACTGATACAAGCAAACAATTTGGAAATGATGAAAGGCACCTGTCCGAGTCTTGCTGGCGTTTTCTTCGAAAGAGGTGTCATACGAGGTCGACCCCGGATACATACCCTGGTGTAGTACACCCCGGCTCCCCGGAGCATTTTCCCCCGAGCACAAATTAGGCCACCGACACAATCTGTACATTATGAGCCACGTAACACCGAACTTAATCAGTCCCACCTTCTGGGAGGCGGGGCAGCGCCCCTCGCGCGAAGCGCGAGCCTCCGAAGGAGGGACTTGGGAATAATCAACCCAATTTGGCGTGGATCCTGAGCACGCCATTTGCATTTTTGGCTGGTGTCACACTTTGACACCACCTTGCATCATCATCCTGCGGGCCAAATGGCCCGCCCTTTGGCCAGATCAAAGCTGGGCATCTGGCCTTGCAGATAACATACCCCTTATTATGACTGAATTTTTTTCAGTCATCTGCAGGGGATGTAAGTTCACGGTCTTTTCCATTTTGGACTAATTGATATATCCATATATTCTTCATAAGTGCATGGCCTTCATGTTAAGTGCATGAAGACATACTGTGCCACTACCAAGTGCATATACATGCATGACAAAGATAATTAATCTTCCAAATGTTCGGGTGAAGGGATTTGCATATGACACAACATCACCAAGTGCAAAAAGAGATATCACATCCGGTACGGTCTCCTATCATCAACTGTTCTAATCGACCCTTTCAAAATCCCAAATGAGTTACCCACGAGATGCACCTGACACAGCTGGGATTGGCTTACCAGATCCCCTTGACTTTCCAAATGCACCAAAGATGTCAGACCAACAAAAAATTCTTGATATATGCGCCCACTTAACCAAGATCAAGATGACACCTAAGGAATTTATCACGGGTTTTCTCAAGAAAGATCACATGGAATTGAACTACCGGCGACGCACCTGGGGAACAATTTATGGATCCAATTCGACAATTGAATTGGTTTCGGAAATAGCTAAGATCTTCCACAAGAAAGATGCCGCGCGTCATCGGTGGGTTGATTTTATTCAGGCCGAGGTGAGTATCTTTTCCACTTGTAAGACGCTCAAACTCAGGTATTTACACGCATTGTCCATTGCAGGCCGTCTTATTATGTCGGCAGGAGATGTCTTCACGGACGACAGGCTCATTCATGAGCTCTCAATTGGTGAAGCGGGATTTTTTCGGTCCCGATGCGAAGCATGCTCGTAATCTCAAACTTACGACCATTGAAAGGCCCTTGCTGTACAACATCATCCATGGAATCATATCTCGTGCGGACAAAGAGGATGGCGACACTAATGAAGTTTGCGATGGACCCGACGACCTCGGGGGTAATAATACGGATGACATGAACAAAACTTGCGATGCCTCCGATGACCTCCGTGGGAATAACGACCCAGTCATTACTGGGACCTGCGGAACCGAATTAGCCGATGGGGTGGACGAAATGGAACCCGAGGTGTCCTTGAACTCGTGCTCAGGGTCATTAGAGGATGTGATGGCTGATTACGGCTAGAGATGGTCGCGGATAATCCGCCGCGGATATCCGCTATCCGCTGGCGGATACCCGCCAGTGCCAGCGGATACCCGCCAGCGGGTGCGGATTCGGGTGCGGATGCACCCTTCCCCCTGAAATACTGGCGGGATCCGGGTATCCCTTGGGATACCCGGTGCCAAGAGGCCACACCGCCGGGAGGAATCCCTCCCGGCAAGCTGGTTTTTAAACCAGCTCGTCGGGAGGGGTTCCTCCCGACGAGCTGGTCTGTGTACCAGCTCGTTGGGAGGGGTTCCTCCCGGCGAGCTGGTTTTAAACCAACTCGTCGGGAGGAACCCCTCCCGGCGAGCGTCTACAGGCCAGCTCGCTGGGAGCGGTTCCTCCCGGCGAGCTGGTTTTAAACCAACTCGTCGGGAGGAACCCCTCCCGGCGAGCGTCTACAGGCCAGCTCGCTGGGAGCGGTTCCTCCCAGCGAGCTGGTCTGTGTACCAGCTCGTCGGGAGGGGTTCCTCCCGGCGAGCGTCCACAGGCCAACTCGCTGGGAGCGGTTCCTCCCAGCGAGCTGGTTTTTAAATCAGCTCGCCGGGAGGGGTTCCTCCCGCCGAACTGGTCTGTGTACCAGCTCGTTGGGAGGGTCCTCCCA